CGGTATCGGTCGATTCGATGGAGAAGAACATTCGCTGATAGTTTTTTGGTGCATCATCTCCATTTTTTTCTATACTTTTATGTCGCAAATAGCATACACGACAATTAACTAAAATGGTCTACAAATGAGAATTGGAAAAAATCAGCCAATATTAGGTTGATGCATAAATAAAGACCGTTTTTCCTATTAATACAAGAAGAAAACTCGGTCGTTAACTATGCATCAACCTAATAGTAACACATTGTAGCAGGTACGTGACGTTCTTTTCTTTCATTGTAAAATAAAAAAGCTCTTGTTTGTTTTCTATACTTTCACATTAAGTACGCAACGTTAAAGAGAAACAGAATACCACTTTTGCGTTTCTCTTCACTACAGCTAAACAAATAACTTCACTTCACAAAACTCAAGTTAAGGGCTAAATGTTCATTGATAAAACAAGAAGAATACGAACTTGTTCTTCTTAGTTTTTCTATAAGATTTATTCGGGAAAGTGAATCATCTTCTTTCGTTAACCTTTTATAGCCGGCTGTATAATCAGTGTTCTAGCAATATCTTGCGATGTCCACATTCTTTTTTGACACTACCCGTCAAAAATTAACTTATAGAAATATTCTTGCGTAAATATATTCTGTTTTTATTACGACAAGGATCGACAAAGTGTACTCTTTTCAAACGAGACTTCTTCAACATTCAATAGATCGATCGTGTCACTTCTGTATCTTTATCTTTCACCAACTCAATTCTTACAAAATTTTACCAGACTAAAAGTATATCACCTCGCTTTCAACATTCTTCTTCCGCTTACATTTTCATCTCGACGTTTGTTTTCTTGGTCTTTAGTGTCACCTATTTTTAGAATTTGAACCATCACGAATAATATTGTGTTCAATTGTCTTATCATGACACTTTTCATTTGTATAACATTGTTCACGAGGAAAATAGCAGAACTTAGATTCTTGTATTCGTCCTCCTCCGTGAACTCCTACGATTAATCGATGAACAACATGCGATACAGATGATGATTTACAGAAGTTTCAATCTGATATAGATAAATTCATTTATATATACAACTGATTTTCAATAAGAGTATTTTCTTCGTTTTTCCTCAAATGGTATTTTGAAAAACACGATTTTTTACTAACAGAAAAACTGGCGACCAGAAGGGTCCTCGTAGCTCAAAGATACGAGATGAGAACACGAAAACGGGGATGAGTGCATAAAGCGAAAGAGAGAAATCGAAAAAAATTGTCTTGCTTATCCAAGAATTAAATCAAACCTTGCGACTCGATAGCGCGTTCAATCAGCAATATAAAAAAATTTTCTTCTGCATCAAATAGCAAAACTGTTGGCATGCCTACATTTCCATTGACAACACTTTCATTTTTCATTTCTTCAAACCAACGCATTATTCGGTGATTATCATAATCCGCAATGTAAATCCGACCAACATCATCAACGAGAATTTCTTGACGATTACTCAATTAATTAAAAATCGTTCAATCCTCATTCATTTCAATGGATTTCTGCATGACATAATTCCAAAAAAGAAACCAAATTGTTAATTGATTTCGATCTTTGGATAATTGAAATCAACTTGGATGAGATTGACTGTGTGAAGATAAATCAGTATCGATTCATCTTGTGTTAATCCATCGAAACATGTTCGACAATTTCTCAATGTAGTTTCAACATATGGTGAAAATGATACTGGTGAGTTTTTCTCATGAGTATTGCATACATGTTCGNATTCCAAAAAAGAAACCACATTGTTAATTGATTTCGATCTTTGGATAATTGAAATCAACTTGGATGAGATTGACTGTGTGAAGATAAATCAGTATCGATTCATCTTGTGTTAATCCATCGAAACATATTCGACAATTTCTCAATGTAGTTTCAACATATGGTGAAAATGGTACTGATGAGTTTTTCTCATGAGTATTGCATACATGTTCGAATTATTTTTCATTGTATGAAAGTTTGACCAGACTGGGAAAAACATGTCGCTCACGTGAACCTGTGATAAGATGTTTTTGCTCGTTCTGTTGGTTTTTCTTTCAATAGAAAAAGAATTCTTGTTCTTTCTTCTGACTTTTTTTTCCATGTGGCAAAGCATCTCAGACATCCTGCAATGACTATCACTGGTTTCATGAGTCATAACTACTGAGAAACTGGGTATTTGTTGGTAATAAAAGGGCAACTGTTGTTGAGTGAAACAAAACATTTTGCAACACTAATAGATCTCACATCAATGAAGCTCTCAAAATTCCCACTAATGTCTCTTCGATGTATCAATTTCAGCGGCCCTCTGATATCAACTGATCAGGATGGATTCAATCTGGAATTAGGTTCAACGAAATCAATAAACGCAACTGCATTATGGGCAATTACATATGCAGATCCATTATGGATACTAACTAATCAAAGTTCTCTGATGTGCCTCGCGTTTAATGTGAAGGACAAATGTATTTGCATCAAATCCAACATTGGTGAAATATCGGTTCACCAATCATTGAAAGTGAAAATTGATGATCAATATTTGCAGCTCCGACTATCACCAAACGTTACGGCAGATCATAAGTTGACACTTGAATTATTTCCCAGCAACGAATACACAAATGAAATTTTCCCAGTATTTATTGCCTTTGAGGGTTACCATAAAATACTACGTTCTATTGAATCTGATTTCATCTTTAATGATCAGATGATGAACTCTAAAATACTGACTCTTAACGATATAAAAGATAAATCTTATGATTACGTTGTCATCGGTTCTTCATTTTGTTCCTTGGGATTTATTCACCAAATTTGTCAAAGAGATCCCAACGCTAAAATCCTCGTATTGGAAAGAGGATTACAATATCTTTCAGAACATCATCAACACGGCTGTTCGTCTCCTCCAAAACATGTGGAACTCAGATCTTGGACCGTCGCTACCGCAACCGCCCAAAACGAATCTATTAAAAATGTCTATGGTCAAATACCATTATTCGGTGGAAGATCTCTCTATTGGAGTGGATGGTGTCCAACACCTTCAACCGAACAGCTGGCCGGGTGGCCGGAGAGCCTCAAAATTTCATTACAAGAAAAATATTTTGATCTTGCCAAAGAACTTCTCAATGTCATCACAGCAGATCAAATACGTGCACGAGAAAATGATCATCTTATTTACAATAATTTTCAAACTTCGTTAAAACAACGTTTAAATGAAGTGATGAGCATAGATACAATCAAAGAAGTTCAACATGCGCCTCTTGCGATGGGCAATGATCGGTAAGTGCGATTTCCTATGAAATTCTTATTCATCATCTTCTTTGTTTTAGATCGATCAAATTCTCCACGGTTGAAAATCTCTCATACATGAAAAATGTAACGATAGTATTTGATTGCGCAGTGAACAAGATTGTACATGATGGACACAAAGCAACAAGACTTCAAACACGTCAAGGGTCTATTTCATTATCAAATAATGCCAAATTGATTTTGGCCATGAGCACATTACCCGCGACCACGTTAGTTCTCAATTCATTCTCGGAGACCGAATTTCCGCAACTTGCAAATGTTGGAAAACGTTTTACCGCACATTTTGTCAGTTCGGTTACAGCACGAGTGCCCAGACATCATTTACTTCCATTACCGAACGATGCAGCCGGAGTGGAATTGGGTGCACTTTATATTCCCGGTATAAAAGAGGGCGCACAATATCATCTTCAATTATCTGCAGTGGCTTATACTAAAACTAACAATGACGATAATATTCATAAAATTTGCAAGAAATATTCAGCCAATTCAATATCGAAGGAATGTATCGATCCTTCGCAAGATTTTGTCATAGTTTCTTGTTCAACATTGGGAGAATTAGATCATAAGAATAAGAATAACCAATTTAATTTGATGAATAATGATCATGACGATCTTACCAGCAATGGAGAGTTGACCATTCAATTAAATGAACAAGATGAACAACTACGGAATTGGATGGACAATGTTACATTCAAAGTAATGAACAAACTTTCGTCGAATGACGATCTCGAATATTGGCATGAAAATAATCAAACTTGGAAGAAAGATCTTCCATCATCTGATCAAATTCGAAAGAACTGCGCTGTTCACGATGCATCAACAATGTGGATTGGAGATATTGACACACCGGTGCAACTCGATTATCGTCTCCGTGGCGTAGATAATGTTTATATTACCGGTGGGGCATTGTGGCCCACTGGTGGTTCATGGAATCCTGTTGTTACTATCGTGGCTATGGCAATGCATTTAGCTGATACAATACACGATAATTCCAATTCTTCATCTCAATAAGAATCTCATCGACATTCTATAATTGACAATGTACATTTGCTAATTTTGAGTTATTGTTTTTAATCGTATATCTAATATATAAATAATAAAATCGTTTCTAGTGTAGTTTATATTTCATAAGCAAACGAGAAATGGTGATTCTTTACGTATATTATCTTAACGACAAAGAACTTTCAATTGAATACCTTTCACTAGTTGAAAAAGTGCATTACGAAAAAGACTTCCACCGCTTAATGTATAAATATAAAATGAGATTCCACTCGCTGTAAAATTCATCAAAGTAACGAAATTAAAAATAAAATTTTCGATCGCCGATTGAATTGATTGAGTTGATGTGCTTGCAGAGATTGATGTATAAGCTTTCTGAATGGCATGTGGACAAGTTAAAATAATGAATAACGTCACTTGAACAGAGAGCATTTTTAGTAAATGTCGATTGATTTTTCTCTTCGCTTGTTGCTGATCTCGAGTAAGATTTGTAAATGTTCTCGGTGGTTCAATACTCATTGAAACCATCGGAATCGCTTGAATACGATTTCGAGTATACCGAGTGTTTTGAATTATCATTATTCCGAAACCAATCATTAAACACAATGGAAATAAAGTTGTAATCACTGCATAAATCACATCTGTGACAACTCGACAAATGTACGTTGATCCATAACATCCGCGTAAAGCTCCAGTCAGATTCGCTTGATAACAACAAAGTATTGGAATATTCAAAAGAATCGAGAAAATAAGAATCACAATTATACAACGTCGTGTGTTTTTCAATGTACTTATTTGTCTTCGATTTGCATTGATACAAGTTGATAACCATCGATCAATTGTTGCGAATGCGATTAACCACAATGTAATTGTTCTTGATGTGTATAAAATGAAATTTCGTGTACGACAAATCCATTCGACTGTAGATGTCAGATCAACTGTATAACCCGCCATCATTCGACTTGTCAATCCACTGATGATCGCAATTAGACTCGATATTGACGAAATGAGAAATACACCGCAGATGTATTGAAACAAATCGGTTTTTGGGATAAAACTAAGATATTAAGGAAATTTCCAGTTATACCGAAGATATAAATAAATATTGGAATATAACGATTGATGAAATCAGACGCACGATTCCACGAATCGATTATATCGGAAGAAGAAGACATCTTTATTCTCTAAAAGAGGTGAATAAATATAACATGAGAATGAAATCGAAGAAAAATAAAAGTTATTATAATTAGATTTTTCAATATACATCACAAAAGAAGTTTATTCGAGTGAAAGTTCCTGACATTTTATTATATTAAAATATTAATGTTGGTAATTCAGAGAAGCATTATTTTTATTTTAGATAGAATTTTTTTGACAGATCTAACTCTTTCTCGCAAAAATCATGTTGCCCAATTTTCTTCTAGTGAAATGCACACTAACATACGATATTTACTTCAAGAATCTTCATTTGTTTGATGTTTTATACGAACAAAAATATCGATCTACATTTCAGCATAATTGGATTCATTTTGATAAGAAGATTGACATGTTCTATTTAGATTCTGTTTGTCTACTCCTTCTTTATTTTACAAAACTTTCCTTTCCATACGATCATTCAATGTTTTACACTATGCAACAAGTTATTTCGTTATAGATAAATCCGATTATTTTTAGAAATTTAATTAAATTATCAGCTTTCTACGATGAGAATTAAGTCAACCAGTAAAAAAAAACATTGTGTCTACACTTCAATTTGTTAAAATGAGAATTATGTTAAGAACGACTAGTTTTCTACACAAATTAATATGCGGAGACGTATGCAATTTACACGTGTAATACTCTCAACATGTAAATAATGTGATAATTGGGTTCGTCACGGTGTTTGACGAAATATTCTATGATAGGTTTTTTCGAAATTTGATTCGAGCACGAAATCATATTCTCCGTCGTATGAAAGGAAGAGAAAAATGTATATCAGAGACGAATATCATTGTACCGCGAAGACGAAAACACGCCATCGTTTTAATTGGCAAAGAATATAGATATTTACTAATGATTAATGATATAAATCAATTGTGGTATTCGCTTATATTCTTCAAAAACTCGCCATAATAACATCGAACGTTGATATAATCGGACTTCTTTGACACGATTGTGTTTTCTCCTTGAAAAAACGACTGTAACATGTACGTTGAGCGCATCTAAGCGTGATATTTCATTTAATTCGAAGATATCGTGAAAATGAGTACATCGACTTCTGTTCCAAAAGTCTATCAAAACGCGAATCCTTTACTTTATACATTTCGTGATGATAATACCGGAATTCAACCATATTTTATCTTCCCACTTCAATTCCTTTTCTTCGATTTATCATTACGTTTTTGGGATCGAATAGCATATGGAACATGGTATTTACCAGGTGAATTAATTCAAATCGAACTTGCTGGTTACGAATCCATACGAAAACAAGATTATATAACTTATACTTATCTTTGGTTAACTTCACATATCAATGTTATCTACGTTATGGTACCGTTTAAAGGTCTTTTCTCTCGGAAAAAGCCTTCACCTAGAAAATTATTAAATATTAAACTTCACGAAAAAGCGAAAGAAGTAACTTTTGATATTTTCGATATTGTTTTCCATTGTGTACCTTTGATTGCTCATACAATTTGGTATTGTATTATTCAATCGAATTGTGGTTCGGGAGCAAATTCATCAACATGGAATTGTTATAATCTCTTTGGTTATCGAATATATAATTATATCTTCGATTCCTACACAGATTTTGCTTATTCATTCATATCCAAATTGTATTATTATCGTGAATATGGATATGCACTTCATATTATTAATCAGAGAAAAGGAACATTCAGAAGAATTGTATCGAAAACGATCTTTTGGATTGCTTTCGCTCTATCTGCAATTACGTTCATCTTCATTAGTGCAATAATTCTTCCGTATTTGTTTACAAATGTCATTCCAATGATAGTCATTTACGCGTTCATTTCAATGATTTATGCATATGTAGTGACAGTTGTCAATCTCATCTTGTATTATTATACTGCAATAACAGGAAGAATATTCGATTTGAAAGGTGAAGAGATCAGTTGGATAAAAACGCAAATAAAAAAACTTCGTCATAATCGACGATTGGTAGTTTCGTTCGGAATAAGATTATTTCCGTATATAATGGCGATAATGTTCAATTTATCACAATATATTTATTACGGAGAAAGTTTTTGGACAGCGCTTACAAGAGAAGCGGATGCCAGAGAACCAGCGGATTATTTTCAAAGGATGTCGCAAGCACCACAAATTCTCCATACAATTCTAAGTACAATTTAATGCTCTTTGTTTTTCTTGAAAGTGACAATTTACTTCTATCTAATAGTTCTAGCTGAATAAAAGTTACTAGCTTAACTGAATCATTCCATAGAAACGTCGAATATTTACCAGAGAAAATAGAAGAGGGAAGGAAACGCGCGGAAGTTTTTTCATGTGTTTTTACAATTGCGTTTCGAAATGAACAAAATACAAGTTGTCATAAAGAAAGAAAACATCTTCTTTTTTTTTCGATCGATGTGACTATATGTTCGATGAAATATCAAGAGAAAATCATTAATAGTATTTCTTTGTATATTGATTATGGCAATAAGTGTTATTGTAACAGTCATTTTACCGGAAAAAAAGCAAACATTCTGTTGTACTTACTTTTTCGGAAACAATAATCCAAAGTAACAATCAATGATCTGTACAACGATATTTTCATCAAGAATTCATTTAGGTGAGAGAGTTACTGAAACCATGACAAGATCATACTGCGTCTTTGCTAAAAACCGACTTGTCTTAGTTGCTGACGGAGAAGTATACATCAGCATTTGCTAACCAGTATGGAATTATACAATCCATTGAGTGATATGTGGATATAACAATAAGAACGATGATGTATAAACGATCTGAACAAGTATTGATGAAAACCGTTGATTTGTGTGATGCTACGATGAGTATTTGGATATTAACAGAAATGATGACATCTATCCTCCAGAAAACAATGACGAATCTTTTTGAATAGAAATTTATTATGATGAAGAAAAAAAAAGACAAGACTTTTTACGTAGTATCCACATCGAATTTCTGAACACGATCGTTACTACAATCGACAACATACAATCGACCTTCACGATCGATCGCCACTCCTGTTGGACAACTGAATTGATTGTTTTGTTTTCCACGTCCTTTCTCTCCGACAACAACAGTTCCTTCCGTAGCTCCTCGTAACCAACGAACAATTCGATGATTATAACAATCTGCAATATAGATACTTCCAAATTGATCGACAATAACTCCTTCGGGGTGTGATAATTGTGCGAGACTATTTCCTTGTCCATGTCCTCCAGCTACGACAGTTCCTTCCTTAGCGTCTTTTTTCCATTTCATAATTCGATTGTTATTTCGATCGGAAACATAAACTGAAACTTCTTGATCGACAAAGATAAATGTCGGAAAATTTAATTGATTCAAATGATCACCTTTACCATTGCCACCAGCGACAACTGTTCCATAAGTTTCTCCTTGTCTCCACCGTCGAACTTCATGATTATCCGCATCAGACACATAGAGATCTCCGAAAAAGTCCACCGTTAACCCGCAACAATTGATATTTGAAATGATCGTTTGTTGATTGAGACGATTTCGACGTGAACAACGAACAACACGTCGATTTCCATAATCACAAATGATTAACGTATCAGTTATTCGATCGACAATCACATCTGTCGGACGATTCAATTGATCTGCACGATTTCCTTTTCCATTTCCACCTGCGACAACTTGTCCATTATTTGCTCCGCATTTCCATTCAACAATTCGATGATTTCCCAAATCAGCAATGTAAATTTTCTGTTCACCCGTCTGAATTCCAATACCATGAGGACAGTAAAGTTGATTCGTTTGTGTTCCGTTCCCATATCCACCAGCAATGGTTGTTCCATGTTGCTTCCATTTCGTACTAATCTCCAAATTCCGCGAAAGAAGTCCTCGTCCTATCGAACTCGACATTTTTCATCGTTAAAAACTCAACGAATTTTTCTCTTACCTAGATTATTCAGTGGAGTTTCATTTAAATACACATGTCCACGTCGATACAGAGCGTTAATACTCAAAGGTCTTTGCGTTCGGTTACTTTCTTCGAAAACATCGGCGGCGATACCTTGAAAAATCTGCACGATATCTTCATTTGGATTTGCAATATGTTTTAACAGATGTTTGGTAAATAAACCATTTCGGTCATCATCTAATCCATCACTCGCTGTTTGATCTGCATCACATGCAAACTGGATAAACGTTCCAGCAGGAGATTTCATCGTATGTAAACCCTTTCCTTCAGTCACCGCTAAAAGACACAAAATGATGAAAGAACTTTAACAATTTTCTTCGAACCTTTGGGTTTTGGACTTCGCTTTGGCCAATATAATCTACAACAATCGAGAATACATATAGTTACATAGGAAGAAGTCTTCTCCGCCAATCTTTTTATTGTTCGTTCAACCGGAACAGCAAAATCTTCAACATCATCTTCCGTTTCAATTTGTCCATCATCAATCGGCATGAGATAATTTGTTCCTTTGATCTGATATCCATGTCCAGAGAAATAAAACAAAACTAAATCACCATCATTGATTGTTTTAGAGAAACTATTAATTGTTGCGATCATCTGTGAACCGGTTAAATCAAGTTTAGTCGTGACATGAAAACGAACGTTGGACAAAACTTCGCTGAGATCGTTGGCATCATTGATACAATGACGAAGTTTACTTTCTGGACGAAAGTAATTGTTATTTCCAATGATAAGAGCGAGTTTTCGACGGGATGTCGATGGACGACGTAGGGTAGCCATGAAAATGTTTATCTTCAAGAAAACCTTACAAGGCAATGTCGATGATTTTTGACTTGACACTCGAAAACGAGTCAATCAAAGAACGGTAAGAAACGCGACGATTTGGAACAGATGTACTTGTTTGACAATCTCCTAGATCAATGATGTATATTTCTTCTTATATCATATGGAGAAAACGAACGATGAATGTATAAAAAGTTATTATCATTGACACATATGATGTCCATAGACAGAACGAAAGAAAAACGATGTATGTATACCACCGTTATTGAACTAGTCAAACGCTTGGATATTCATTGACGAATATCGAGGTGACGATAGTGTCATACCTCGATCATATACACACGTGGGTGGATATCAAATATCAAAGAGAAAGAGAAAAAAATGTATCACCGAGAATTTACGTCATGATGAGAAATACGATTGTATTACATTTTCAAGTCAAAGTTTTTCTCATGAAAACTGAAATGCATATGCGCAGATAAATAACCTGATCAAACTTGCGTTATGAAAAATATTTTACTAAAAGATTAATTAATAAATTTGGCAAATATTTTTCTCCTGAAAAACGACTTCACTGGTTGACTGAAGTGTTTGACTTTATATTTGACGTTCAGATTATACGTTGAGCAAATAAACAGGTATTAAGTTTTGCTTTATCAAGAGATGACTTTCAACCAACTATATATAAAACAAATTAACACGTACTTTTGCGTATTTCATCGAGAGAAAAGCTTTTCCAAAGTTTTCAGCAGAATATCAACATTGAAACAATGCGTATGTATTCATTTCGACAAATTGATACTTTTTACAAATTTTCTTCTTTTCAGATGCGACATCACCAGTCGAGTATCGCACACATCGTATTAAGAAAACTTTCACAATCATAGGTTTGATCATCTTCATTCTCTCCTTAGCATTTCCCGCATATCTTATAAAAGTCAGCGTGACAAATCCTATCAATACAATTGTGAAAACAAATGTTACTGAAAATCATTCTCAAACGGCTCATGTTGCTACGCCTAGTTTGACAACATATTCGCAATTGCAAACATCTTATCCAGAAACAGTTCACTGTTCATGTACTCAAACATCAATTAGCTATTCAAGTTTTCTTGGTATTAGACACAAACTTCATGAGATTTGCAGCAGTGAATTTATTTCTCAAGAATGGATTTCTTATCTTTCATCTAACCAATTTCCAGTTTTATCCAATGATTTTCGAGCAATAAGTCCAATGTTATTTAAAGCATTACGTTCACTTTGTGAAGTCAGTCAACAGATGGTTCATCACAATATAATGCAGTTTTTATCTAATGAATATGTATCCACAAGTGTCACACCTGCGAATTTATTCCATGTACAAATACAAACACGACTCGATCAACTTCGATCCGCAATGTCTGAGAGTTTTTCGTTAACATTTTCAATGATTCGTGAAACAATTCAAGCCAATGCTTTATTTTCTGGTTTAGGAACAAATTTCCAGTTGTCAGTAGAGAATAACAATGTATCCACCGTTCCACTCTTGTATAACGGATGTAGTTGTGCATTGTCATCGAAATGTATTACTCCAGCTGCGATCTATAATTCTACAAATAGCGAGATTTTATTCGTAGTACCGGGTTTTTACAAGGGTTGTTATGTTATGGAATCATTACTTCAATCGGACCTTCGATGTTTCTATAATCAAACTTGTTTAGATAAGTTATCAAGTTATTACAGTTTACCAACAAAATTTCATGTGTTAAACGAAGCAAATTTAAATATGTTTTCTATCAATTCGACTATCGCTGATCTTCTGCGCCGTTTGATGATTGAAGAGCAAGAAATGATACTCTCTTATGAAAATTATTATAATCGATGTAGTCCATCAGCATGTAGTTATAGTTTTCAAGAGCCGTATATGTATGAAAAAGTGGAAATAGTTCGAGCAGAAACTCATTTAGCACATCTGATCGGTACTGTTATCGGAATTATCGGTGGTACAATCGCAATTTTACATATTCTGATGTCAACTTTAATAAAACTGATGATTTAATCACTTTTTTTTCAATGGAAATTTGTGTCTATATCCAATGAAAATTCCACTACATGAACTATAGTTATTGAACTTGAATAGTCGTTGTATAATTGTTCATAATGAGTTAAACCTGTTAATTGAATAGTGACACTTTGATATGTCTTATTCAACGATGTATGAAAAAGACGAACAAATACAATCTGCTACTGAGAATCTATTGACGAAATGTCTCTGTAGTTGTTGTTCGACTTCGAAAGACATTTAAATGGACGATTTTGATTTTCATAAACCGATAAATTCGATTCCATTGTGAACTAACCAAAAACGAACTGAAATTAATGATTATGATATCAGATATCTACATACTCTCACCTTATTTGTTGTTTTCTTTTGTGTCGAATCAAATCGATGAGATTTTTTTTTGAAATAACATTCCGTTGTTGATAAAAGTAATGAATCGATCATAAAGCAACTGAGATAAATTCCTGGAATAGAAATCCATGATGGTTTTCGACAAAGTGAATCAGTTGCACAAGAACAGTTCCATATTAATCGCGATTGATTTAATCGTAATAAGTTCTCGAATAATGAAAAGATTCTTCGGTTGTATGTGTTGACGAAGGCCATTGACTTGAATATCAAATGAAAGTGTTTCGAGAAGTTTATTGGTGATTAATTGCTTGGAATCGAGTTCTTCTAACTGATCTTCAATTGTTCTCTGTGCTTGTTGTTCATACGGAATGGAGATTTGTTCACATGAACAATCTAAATTTTTGCCAAATTTCATTTCGTTTCAAATAAGAATCGTTGTTTTCAGTATCGAATAAATTTAATTGTGCTAATCGGCGAGAGATCATAATTCTCAAATGCATATACTCAGATAAACCTTCAGTTGATGTTGAAAGAAACTTTCTCGTTCGGTTAGTGAGTGTTATTGATATTTATTTCGAAGAGTAGAAAAGAAAAGAACAAGGAAGTTTATGTTTTCACACTGGTTTGCTTTTGTTCTTGTGTTTGTTGATTTCGTAGAAAATTTGAGCTAATTAAATCCTGTTTACAACCCGTATGACTTGCAAACGGAGAAGATTTTGGTCGAACAAGTAATTGAGATATTCCTCCCTAAAAAATTCACATTCAAATTTCAGAAAATAAGAAGAAAAAAATGACGAACTTGTTGATGCATATTCGAACGAAGATCGTTGGGTATATTGGAATTTACACCACTACAATCGGGATGTACAGGACTACTTGGTGAATGTGCAAATGGAGGTTTGTCTTTTCCAATGAAATTAAATGCCGAAAGACGCGAACGATTTCTATTGAAATGAATCTTTTTTCTTCGAACATCAACTGAATAATTTCATACTTAAAACTACTTCCTGAAAGACTTGAGACATCTGATACTCCACCATTCGACTTCGATTGGACGAACAAAATATCACCTACAAAACACAAAAAGGTTTCTTTTACGCGATTTTCATGAATATTTACTTGATGATTGATCACTGTTTACTCGATACGAACTTCGTGCCCATGCAACAGCCTACGAAATAAAAAGATTTTCATCAATAATTCTTCAGATTCATCCTACTTGTCCGTTTGGTTTTGCTAAAATCGTGACACATTCCGGTCCGGTTTCCCATCGTCTCTGTTCTTTCCATACGAATAGATGTGGAGGTTGTGGTTCGATTTCTCTCAGTGCGCCACACCAAATCTGAATAAAAATCTTTTCTCACCTCGTCTCCTCACTCTTCGTTCTCAATTTACCGTGACTGTCTGTCCAGCTCGAATAACGGTATTATAGGGAAATCGGAATCGACACACCGGTGTACAGGCGAGATTTTGTTGAAGAAAATGTCCACCGAGATCATAATCATCCGAATTCGAGATATTTAATAGTCGAAGATATTCACCATTCATTGGTTCGATTTCATGAATTCGAATATTTGATAATGTACTAAATTCAATCGATGAGAATTTGAAAAAAATTCATGAAGGAATCTCACTTTCCCATTTTGTAGCCAATCGTTGGTTTGTTGGTGATTTCCTTATGATGTTGTTTGAACAAATCAGGCATTAAATCGGAATTTTCTCGTTGATATGGAATGACCGGTGTAGTAATTTCTTCAAACGCTTCAGTTGGTGGATTTTCATTGGTCGATTCTTTGTTCTCATCGAAACAAAAACTAACAGATTTGCCGGATTTGATTCTCGAGTCGGATCGTTTGAGATTCGATGAACGTTTTTGTAAAGAAGAATTCGGACGAGGATCAGTTGTCGTAACTGACATTGTCGATGATGAATAAAGTGAGGGTGGATCAGGAGTTGATGTTGTACTTAAATTTGTTAATGATTTCGATTCGAATGATTTGATTGACGGAGGAGATTGTTCTTCTACTAAAACTTCTTCTTCTTCTTCCTCCTCTTCTTCTTCATCGTTATTCAATTGTGTTTCTTCCTCGGGAACAGTTCTATGTGATAAAAACGAACAAAAAATCGAAAGAAAAACGTCCCGAAAGTATTTACTGATCTTTGTTCAGGACTCGTTTGATTGTTGTTAGTTCTTCGAGAATATTTTCATGTGTTTTCGTTGCAATTGACATTAATTGTTGTAGTTGTTCATGTGTTGATCTAACAGTGAGAAGTTTCTGTTCGANTGCATGACATAATTCCAAAAAAGAAACCAAATTGTTAATTGATTTCGATCTTTGGATAATTGAAATCAACTTGGATGAGATTGACTGTGTGAAGATAAATCAGTATCGATTCATCTTGTGTTAATCCATCGAAACATGTTCGACAATTTCTCAATGTAGTTTCAACATATGGTGAAAATGATACTGGTGAGTTTTTCTCATGAGTATTGCATACATGTTCGAATTATTTTTCATTGCATGAAAGTTTGACCAGACTGGGAAAAACATGTCGCTCACGTGAACCGGTGATAAGATGTTTTTGCTTGTTCTGTTGGTTTTTCTTTCAATAGAAAAAGAATTCTTGTTCTTTCTTCTGACTTTTTTCCCATGTGGCAACGCATCTGAGACATCCTGCAATGAATATCACTGGGGAATTCTGATCAAACTCGAGATTGTCATGACATTTCTTAGTGAGTACTGTCGTATTTATTTCATGAGTCATAATTACTGAGAAACTGGGTATTTGTTGGTAATAAAAAGGACAATTGTTGTTGAGTGAAACAAAACATTTTGCAACACTAATAGATCTCACGTCAATGAAGCTCTCAGAATTCCCACTAATGTCTCTTCGATGTATCAATTTCAGCGACCCTCTGATATCAACTGATCAGGATGGATTCAATCTGGAATTAGGTTCAACGAAATATATAAACGCAAGTGCATTATGGGCAATTACATATGCAGATCCATTATGGACACTAATTAATCAAAGTTCTCTTATGTGCCTCACGTTTAATGTGAAGGACAAACGTATTGTCATCATGTCCAACATTGATGAAATATTAGTTTACCAATCATTGAAAGTGAAAATTGATGATCAATATTTGCAGCTCCGATTGTCATCAAACTTTACGGAAGATCATACATTGGCACTTGAATTATTTTCCAGCAGCGAATCCACAAAAGAAATTTTCCCAGTATTTTTTGCCTTTGAGGGTTACCATAAAATACTACGTTCTATAGAACCTAATTTCATCTTTGATGATCAGATGATGAATTCTAAAATACTGACTCTTAACGATATAAAAGATAAATCTTATGATTACGTTGTCATCGGTTCTTCATTTTGTTCCTTGGGATTTATTCACCAAATTTCTCAAAGAGATCCCAACGCTAAAATCCTTGTCTTGGAAAGAGGATTACAATATCTTTCGGAACATCATCAACACGGCTGTTCGTCTCCTCCAAAACACGTGGAAGTCACATCTTGGACTGTCGCTCCCGAAACCGTCCAAAACGAATCTCTTGAGAATGTCCATGGTCAAATACCATTATTCGGAGGAAGATCTCTCTATTGGAGTGGATGGTGTCCAACACCTTCAACCGAACAGCTTGCCGGGTGGCCAGAGAACCTTAAGATTTCATTACAGGAAACATACTTTCGTCTTGCCAAAGAACTTCTCAACGTCATCACAGCAGATCAAATGCGTGCACGAGAAAATGATCATCTCATTTACGATACTTTTCAAACTTCGTTGAAACAACGTTTGAATGAAGTAATAAACATAGATACAATCAAAGAAGTTCAACATGCTCCTCTTGCGATGGGCAATGATCGGTAAGTGCGATTTCCTATGAAATTCTTATTCTTTATCTTCTTTTTTTAGATCGATCAAATTCTCCACGGTTGAAAAACTCTCATCTATGAAAAATGTAACGATAATATTTGACTGCACAGTAAACAGGATTGTACATGATGGACACAAAGCAACAAGACTTCGAACACGTCAAGGATCCATTTCATTATCAAATAATGCCAAATTGATTTTGGCCATGAGCACATTACCCGCGACCACGTTAGTTCTCAATTCATTCTCAGAGACCGAATTTCCACTGCTTGCAAATGTTGGGAAACGTTTTACCGCACATTTTGTCAGTTCGGTTACAGCACGAGTGCCTAGACATCATTTACTTCCATTGCCAAACGATGCAGCTGAAGTGCAACTGGGCGCGCTTTATATTCCCGGTATGAAAGAGGGCGCACAATATCATCTTCAGTTATCTGCAGTGGCTTATACTAAAAATAGCAATGGCGATGATATTCACAAAATTTGCAAGAAATATTCAGCCAATTCAATATCGAAGGAATGCATCGATACATCGCAAGATTCTGTTATAGTTTCTTGTTCAACATTGGGAGAATTGGATCATAAGAATAAGAATAACCAATTTAATTTGATGAATAATGATCATGACGATCTTACCAGCAATGGAAAATTGACCCTTCAATTGAACGAACAAGATCAGCAACTATGGAATTGGATGGATAATGTTACATTCAAAGTAATGAACAAACTTTCGTCGAATGACGATCTCGAATATTGGCATGAAAATAATCAAACTTGGAAGAAAGATCTTCCTTCATCTGATCAAATTCGAAAGAACTGCGCTGTTCATGATGCATCAACAATGTGGATTGGAGATATTGACGCACCGGTGCAACTCGATTATCGTCTCCGTGGTGTAGATAATGTTTATATTACTGGTGGGGCATTGTGGCCCACTGGTGGTTCATGGAATCCTGTTGTTACTATCGTGGCTATGGCAATGCATTTAGCTGATATAATACACAACAATTCCAATTCTTCTCCTAAATAAAAGGAATCTCGTCGACATTCTATAATTGATAATATACATTTGCTAATTTTGAGTTATTGTTTTTAATCGCATGTCTAACATATAAATAATAAAATCGTTTCTGTTGTATTTTATATTTCATAAACAAATGAGAAATGATTCGATTCTTGACGTATATTATCCTAACGACAAAGAACTTTCAATTGAATACCCTTCACTAGTTGAAAAAGTGCATTACGGAAAAGACTTCCACCGCTTAATGTATAAATATAAAACGAGATTCCACTGGCTGTAAAATTCATCAAAGTAACGAAATTAAAAATAAAATTTTCGATCGCCGATTGAATTGATTGAGTTGATGTGCTTGCAGAGATTGATGTATACGCTTTCTGAATGGCATGTGGACAAGTTAAAATGATGAATAACGTCACTTGAACAGAGAGCATTTTTAGTAAATGTCGATTGATTTTTCTCTTCACTTGTTGCTGATCTCGAGTAAGATTTGTAAATGTTTTCGGTGGTTCAATACTCATTGAAACCATCGGAATAGCTTGAATACGATTTCGAGTATACCGAGTGTTTTGAATTGTCATTATTCCAAAACCAATCATTAAACACAATGGAAATAAAGTTGTAATTACTGCATAAATCACATCTGTGACAACTCGACAAATGTACGTTGATCCATAACATCCACGCAAAGCTCCAGTTAAATTCGCTTGATAACAACAAAGTATTGGAATATTCAGAAGAATCGAAAAAATAATAATCAGAATTATACAACGTCGTGTATTTTTCAATGTACTTATTTGTCTTCGATTTGCATTGATACAAGTTGATAACCATCGATCGATTGTTGCAAATGCGATTAACCACAATGTAATTGTTCTTGATGTGTACAGAATGAAATTTCGTGTACGACAAATCCATTCGACTGTAGATGTCAGATCAACTGTATAACCCGACATCATTCGACTTGTCAATCCACTGATGATCGCAATTAGACTCGATATCGACGAAATGAGAAAATACACCGCAGATGTATTGAAACAAATCGGTTTTTGGGATAAAACTAAGACATTAAGGAAATTTCCAGTTATACCGAAGATATAAATAAATATCGGAATATAACGATTGATGAAATCAGACGCACGATTCCATGAATCGATTATATCAGATGAAGACATCTTTATTCTCTGAAAGAATGAAACCTGGATAAAAGAAAAGTTATTATAATTAGATTTTTGAATATACATCAGAAAAAAAGTTTATTCGAGCGAAAATTACTATGCTCTTTTTTACAATAAAATATTAATGTCGGTAATTCAACGAAGCATTATTTTCATTTGAAATGAAATTTTTTCGACACATCACACTCTAACTCTTTCTCGCAAAAATCATGTTGACCAATTTTTTTCTAGTGATCTATATTTCAGTACAATTGGATTCATTTCGATAAGAAGATTAACATTCTCTATTTATATATTTTGTCTATCTATTCCTCCTTTATTTTAAGATAACAAACAATATTTCCTTGCGAGTGAAGAATGTACAACTTTTCTTTCTATACAATCATTCAATGTTTTATACTATGCAACAAATGATTTCGTTAGATAAATTCGATTATTTTTAGAAAATTTAATTAAATTATCAGCTTTCTACGATGATAGTTAAGTCAAGTAGTAAAAAAACGTTTTTGTATACATTTCAATTTGTTAAAATGAGAACTATGTTACGAACAACTAATTTTCTACACAAATTAATATGCGGAGACCTATGCAATTCACACGTGTAATACTCTCGACATGTAAATAATGTGATAATTGAGTTTGTCACGGTGCTTGACGACATATTCTATAATGGGTTTTTTTCGAAATTTGATTTGAGCACGAAATCATATTCTCCGTCGTATGAAAGGAAGAAAAAAAATGTATATCAGAGACGAATATCGTTGTACAGAGAAAACGAAAACACACCATCGTTTTAATTGGTAAAAATATAGATATTTAGTAATGATTAATGATACGAATCAATTGTGGTGTTCGCTAATATTCTTCAAAAATCCGTCCCAATAACACCGAACGTTGATATAATCGAATTTCATTGACAGGATATCACTGTAAGTGTATAATGTTTGTGTTTTCTCCTTGAAAAAACGACTCTAATAGGTACGCTGAGCGCATCTAAGCGTGATATTTCATTTAATTTGAAAGTATTGTAAAAATGAGCACATCGACATCCGTTCCAAAAGTCTATCAAAACGCGAATCCTCTACTTTATACATTTCGTGATGATAATACCGGAATTCAACCATATTTTATCTTCCCACTTCAATTCTTATTTTTCGATTTATCATTACGTTTTTGGGATCGAATAGCATATGGAACATGGTATTTACCAGGTGAATTAATCCAAATCGAACTTGCAGGTTACGAATCCATACGAAAAGAAGATTATATTACTTATACTTATCTTTGGTTAACTTCACATATTAACGTTATATACGTTATGATACCGTTTAAAGGTCTTTTCTCTCGGAAAAAGCCTTCAGATAAAAAATTATTAAATATCAAACTTCACGAAAAAGCGAAAGAAGTAACTTTTGATCTTTTCGATATTATTTTCAATTGTGTACCTTTGATTGCTCATACAATTTGGTATTGTATTATCCAATCAAATTGTGGTTCGGGAGCAAATTCATCAACATGGAATTGTTATAATCTTTTTGGTTATCGAATATATAATTATATCTTCGATTCCTATACAGATTTTGCTTATTCATTCATATCCAAATTATATTTTTATCGTCAATATAGTTATGCACTTCATATTATTAATCAGAGAAAAGGAACATTCAGAAGAATTGTATCGAAAACGATCTTTTGGAGTGCTTTCGTTTTATCTGCAATTACGTTCATTTTCATTGGTGCAATAATTCTTCCGTATTTGTTTACAAATGTCATTCCAATGGTAATCATTTACGCGTTCATTTCAATGATTTATGCATATGTAGTGACAGTTGTCAATCTCATCTTGTATTATTATACTGCAATAACAGGAAGAGTATTCGATTTAAAAAGTGAAAAGATCGGTTGGATAAAAACACAAATAAAAAAACTTCGTCATAATCGACGATTGGTGGTTTCCTTCGGAATAAGATTATTTCCGTATATAATGGCGATAATGTTCAATTTATCGCAATATATTTATTATGGAGAAAGTTTTTGGACAGCGCTTACTAGAGAAGCGGATGCCAGAGAACCAGCAGATTATTTTCAAAGGATGTCACAAGCACCACAAATTCTCCATACAATTTTAAGTACAATTTGATGCCTTTTTTTTGAAAGTGACAATTTACTTCTGTCTAATAGTTCTAGTTGAATAAAAGTTAGTAGCTTGAGTGAATCATTCGATAGAAACGTCGAATATTTACCAGAGAAAATAGAAGAGAGAAGGAAACGGAAGTTTTTTCCACGTGTTTTTATACAATTACGTTTCGAAATAAACAAATATCTTTTTTTTTTCGATCGATGTGAATGTGTTCGACGAAATATTAAGATAAAATTATTAATAGTATTTCTTTGTATATTGACTATGGCAATAAGTGTTATTGTAACAGTCATTTTACCGGAAAAAAAAACATTCTGTTCTACTTACTTTTTTGACAACAATAATTCAAGGTAACAATCGCTGATCTGTACAAAAATATTTTCTCAGTACGAAATTTTCATCAAGAATTCATTAAGGTGAGAGAGTTTCTGAAACCATGGCAAGATCATACTGCGTCTTTGCTAAAAAAATCGACTTGTCTTGGCTGCTGATGGAGAAGTATACCTCAGCACTTGCTAACCAGTATAGAATTATACAATGTATTGAGTGATATGTGGATAACAATAAGAACGATGATTTATAGACGATCTGAGCAAGTATTAATGAAAATTACGGTATTATATGATGCTACGATGAGTATTTGGATATTGACAGAAATGGTGACATCTATTCTCCAGAAAATAATGACAAATCCTTTTCAATAAAAATTTATTATGATGAAGAAAAAAAAGACAAGACTTTTTATGCAGTATCCACATCAAATTTCTGAACACGATCGTTACTACAATCGACAACATACAGTCGACCTTCACGATCGATCGCTACTCCTGTTGGACAACTGAATTGATTGGTTTGTTTTCCACGTCCTTTCTCTCCGACAACAACAGTTCCTTCCGTAGCTCCTCGTAACCAACGAACAATTCGATGATTATAACAATCTGCAATATAGATACTTCCAAATTGATCTACAATAACTCCTTCGGGATGTGATAATTGTGCGAGACTATTTCCTTGTCCATGTCCTCCAGCTACGACAATTCCTTCTTTGGCGTCTTTTTTCCATTTCATAATTCGATTGTTATTTCGATCGGAAACATAAACTGAAACATCTTGATCGACAAAGATAAATGTCGGAAAATTTAATTGATTTAAATGATCACCTTTACCATTACCACCAGCGACAACTGTCCCATAAGTTTCTCCTTGTCTCCATCGTCGAACTTCATGATTATCCGCATCAGACACATAGAGATCTCCGAAAAAGTCCACAGTTAACCCACAACAATTGATATTTGAAATGATCGTTTGTTGATTGAGACGATTTCGACGTGAACAACGAACAACACGTCGATTTCCATAATCACAAATGATTAACGTATCGGTTATTCGATCGACAATCACATCTGTCGGACGATTCAATTGATCTGCACGATTTCCTTTGCCATTTCCTCCTGCAACAACTTGTCCATTATTTGCTCCGCATTTCCATTCAACAATTCGATGATTTCCCAAATCAGCAATATAAATTTTATGTTCACTCGTATGAATTCCAATACCATGAGGGCAGTAAAGTTGATTCGTTTGTGTTCCATTCCCATATCCACCAGCAATTGTTGTTCCATGCTGCTTCCATTTCGTGCTAATCTCCAAATTCCGCGAAAGAAGTCCTCGTCCTATCAAACTCGACGTTTTTCATTGTAAAAAGTCAAAGAATTTTTCTCTTACCTGGATTATTCGGTGGAGTTTCATTTAAATACACATGTCCACGTCGATACAGGGCGTTAATACTCAAAGGTCTTTGCGTTCGATTACTTTCTTCAAAAACATCCGCGGCAATGCCTTGAAAAATCTGCACGATATCTTCATTTGGATTGGCAATATGTTTTAACAGATGTTTGGTAAATAAACCATTTCGGTCATCGTCTAATCCATCGCTTGCTGTTTGATCTGCGTCACATGCAAACTGGATAAACGTTCCAGCAGGAGATTTCATCGTATGTAAACCCTTTCCTTCAGTCACCGCTAAAAGACAGAAAATGATGAAAGTATTTTAACAATTTTCTTCGAACCTTTGGGTTTTGGACTTCGCTTTGGCCAATATAATCTACAACAATCGAGAATGCATATAGTTACATAGGAAGAAGTCTTCTCCGCCAATCTTTTTATTGTTCGTTCAACCGGAACAGCAAAATCTTCAACGTCATCTTCCGTCTCGATTTGTCCATCATCGATCGGCATGAGATAATTTGTTCCTTTGATCTGATATCCATGTCCAGAGAAATAAAACAAAACTAAATCACCATCATTGATTGTTTTAGAGAAACTATTGATTGTTGCAATCATCTGTGAACTGGTTAAATCAAGTTTAGTTGTGACATGAAAACGAACGTTCGACAAAACTTCGCTCAGATCGTTGGCATCATTGATACAGTGACGAAGTTTACTTTCTGGACGAAAGTAATTGTTATTTCCAATGATAAGAGCAAGTTTTCGACGGGATGTCGATGGACGACGTAGGGTAGCCATGAAAATGTTTATCTTCAAGAAAACCTGACAAGGCAATGTCGATGATTTTTGACTTGACACTCGAAAACGAGTCAATCAAAGAACGGTAAGAAACGCGACGATTTGGAACAGATGTACTTGTTTGACAATCTCCGATAGATCAATGATGTATATTTCTTCTTATATCATATGGAGAAAACGAACGATGAATGTATAAAAAGTTATTATCATTGACACATATGTGATGTACATAGACAGAACGAAAGAAAAACGATGTATGTATACCACCGTTATTGAACTAGTCAAACGCTTGGATATTCATTGACGAATATCGAGGTGACGACAGTGTCATACCTCGATCATATACACACGTGGGTGGATATCAAATATCAAAGAGAAAGAGAAAAAAATATATCACCGAGAATTTAGGTCATGATGAGAAAGACGATTGTATTAGCTTTTCTCATGAAAACTGAAACGCATATGCGTAGATAAATAACCTGATCAAACTTGTGTTACGAAAAATATTTTACTAAAAGATTAATTAATAAATTTGGCAAATATTTTTCTCCTGAAAAACGACTTTACTGGTTGACTGAAGTGTTTGACTTTGTATTTGACGTTCAGATTATATGTTGAGCAAATAAACAGGTATTAAGTTTTGTTTTATCATAAGAGATGACTTTCAACCAATTATATATAAAACAATTTAACACGTACTTGTGCGTATTTCATCGAGGGAAAAGCTATTCCAAATTCTTTAACAGAATATCAACATTGAAATAATGCGTATGTATTCATTGAGATAAATTTATATTTTTTACAAATTTCCTTCTTTTCAGATGCGACATCACCAGTCGAGGATCGCACACATCGTATTAAGAAAACTTTCACAATCATAGGTTTGATCATCTTCATTCTCTCCTTAGCATTTCCCGCATATCTGATAAAAGTCAGCGTGACAAATCCTATCAATACAATTGTGAAAACAAATGTTACTGAAAATCATTCTCAAACGGCTCATGTTATTACGCCTAGTTTGGTAACATATTCGCAATTGCAAACATCTTATCCAGAAACAATTCAATGTTCATGTACTCAAACAAAAATTAGCTATTCAAGTTTTGTTGGTATTAGTCACAGACTTCATGAGATTTGCAGCAGTGAACTTATTTCTCAAGAATGGATTTCTTATCTTTCATCTAACCAATTTCCAGTTTTATCCAATGATTTTCGAGTAATAAGTCCAATGTTATTTGAAGCATTACGTTCACTTTGTGAATTCAGTCAACAGACAGTTCATCACAATATAATGCAGTTTTTATCTAATGAATATGTATCCACAAGTGTCACACCTGCGAATTTACTTAATGTACAAATACAAACACGACTCGAGCAACTTCGATCCACAATGTCTGAGAGTTTTTCGTTAACATTTTCAATGATTCGTGAAACAATTCAAGCCAATGCTTTATTTTCTGGCTTAGGAACAAATTTCCAGTTGTCAGTAGAGAATAACAATGTATCCACCGTTCCATTCTTGTATAACGGATGTAATTGTGCATTGTCATCGAAATGTATTACTCCAGCTGCGATCTATAATTCTATAAATAGTGAGATTTTATTCATAGTTCCGGGTTTTTACAAGGGTTGTTATGTTATGGAATCGTTACTTCAATCGGATCTTCGATGTTTCTATAATCAAACTTGTTTAGATAAATTATCAAGTTATTACAGTTTACCAACAAAATTTCATCTGTTAAACAAAACAAATTTAAACATGTTTTCTATCAATTCGACTATCGCTGATCTTCTGCGCCGTTTGATGATTGAAGAGCAAGAAACGATACTCTCTTATAAAGATTATTATCATCAATGTAGCCCATCAGCATGTACCTATAGTTTTCAAGAGCCGTATATGTATGAAAAAGTGGAAATAGTTCGAGCAGAAATTCATTTAGTACATCTGATTGGTACTGTTATCGGAATTATCGGTGGTACAATCGCAATTTTACATATTCTCATGTCAACTTTAATCAAACTGATGATTTAATCACTTTTTTTCCATGGAACTTTTTCTAAGTTTGCCATTTGAACTTGTATTTTTCTTTTTCTGTATCTGAATCGAAATCTCGTACAATACTATACGTACAGAATTTCGGATGATATTCTTCAAAATATTATTCATATAAACATAATGAATTTTCAGTTGGTTTAGTAAATAGATATGACGAAATTACTTTAAATGATCTCTCGGATTAGATTTAAGATCAGTTTTTCAAGAAGGGAATTCTGTTAAACTATTGTTCAATGTTTGTGCTGTTAATTGACATGAAATTATGAATAGAAGATTTTTATGTCAAAAGTCGATTCATTGTTGAGTGACAAAATCCGATGAACAAATTTAATGAAATCTCGGAGAAAATTGAAGACATTGTTTATATCTAATGGAAATTCCACTACATGAACAAGTTAATAAACTTGAATAGTTATTGTATAATTGTTCATAATGAGTTCTATTGACGAAATGTTTCTGTATTTGTCGTTTGACTTCGAAAAACATTTAAATGGATGATTTTGGTTTTCTTAAACCGATAAATTCGATTCCATTGTGAACGAATTAAAAACGAACTGAAAGTAATGATTATGCTATCAGATATCTACATACTCTCACCTTATTTGTTATTTTCTTTTGTGTCGAATCAATTCGATGAGATTTGATTAATTTGATATATGATTTTTTGAAATAACATTCCGTTGTTGATAAAAGTAATGAATCGATCATATGGCAACTGAGATAAATTCCTGGAATATAAATCCATGATGATTTTCGACAAAGCGGACCAATTGCACAAGAACAGTTCCATATTAATCGTGATTGATTTGATCTTAATAAAATTTTCAAATAAAGAAAAAGTTCTTCGTTTGTATGTGTTAACGAAGGAATTGATTTGTATGTCAAATGAAAGTATTTCGAGAAGTTTATTGGTGATTATGATGAAAATCTAATTGAAAATAGAAACTGATATTTCGTGAACATAAATAATCGATCCATTGTTAAGTAACGAAATTCGATGAACAAACGGGATAATATGAGATTGTTATATTGACGAATTGTTCACATGAACAATCTAAATTTTTGCCTAATTTCATTTCGTTTCAAATAAGGATCGTTGTTTTCAGTATTGAACAAATTCAATTATGCTAAATCGACGAGAGATGATATTCTCAAATGCATATATTCTATAAACCTTCAGTTGATAAGATTTGTTATCTATGTTGTTACCGTCCTCTAGGTTGAGAGAAACTATCTATTCTCTTTTGGTTAGTGAGTGTTATTCATATTTATTTGGAAGAGTAGAAAAGAAAAGAACAAGGAAGTTTATGTTTTCACACTGGTTTGCTTTTGTTCCTGTGTTTGTTGATTTCGTAGAAAATTTAAGCTAATTAAATCCTGTTTACAACCCGTATGACTTGCAAATGGAGAAGATTTTGGTCGAACAAGTAATTGAGATATTCCTCCCTAAAAAATTCACATTCAAATTTGAGAAAATAAGAACAAAAAAATGACAAACTTGTTGATGCATATTCGAACGAAGATCGTTGGGTATATTAGAACTCACACCACTACAATCGGGATGTACAGGACTACTTGGTGAATGTGCAAATGGAGGTTTGTCTTTTCCAATGAAATTAAATGCCGAAAGACGCGAACGATTTCTATTGAAATAAAACGTTTTTCCTCGAACACCAACTGAATAATTTCATACTTAAAACTACTTCCTGAAAGACTTGAGACATCTGATACGCCACCATTCGACTTCGATTGGACGAACAAAATATCACCTACAAAACACAAGAAGGTTTCTTCTACGCGATTTTCATGAATATTTACTTGATGATTGATCACTGTTTACTCGATATGAACTTCGTGCCCACGCAACAGCCTACGAAATAGAAAGATTTTCATCAATAATTCTTCAGATTCGTTCTACTTGTCCGTTTGGTTTCGCTAAAATTGTGACACATTCTGGCCCGGTTTCCCATCGTCTCTGTTCTTTCCATACGAATAGATGTGGAGGTTGTGGTTCAATTTCTCTCAGTGCGCCACACCAAATCTGAATAAAAAACCTTTTCTCACATCTTCTCACTCTTCGTTCTCAATTTACCGTGACAGTTTGTCCAGCTCGAATAACAGTATTATACGGAAATCGGAATCGACACACCGGTGTACAGGCGAGATTTTGTTGAAGAAAATGTCCACCGAGATCATAATCATCCGAATTTGAGATATTTAATAATCGAAGATATTCACCATTCATTGGTTCGATTTCATGAATTCGAATATTTGATAATGTACTAAACTCAATCGATGAGAATTTGAAGAAAATCCATGAAGGAATCTTACTTTCCCATTTTGTAGCCAATCGTTGGTTTGTTGGTGATTTCTTTATGATGTTGTTTGAATAAATCAGGCATTAAATCGGAATTTTCTCGTTGATATGGAATGACCGGTGTAGTAATTTCTTCAAACGCTTCAGTTGGTGGATTTTCATTGGTCGATTCTTTGTTTTCATCGAAACAAAAACTAACAGATTTGCCGGATTTGATTCTCGAATCGGATCGTTTGAGATTCGATGAACGTTTTTGTAAAGAAGAATTCGGACGAGGATCAGTTGTCGTAACTGACATTGTCGATGATGAATAAAGTGATGGTGGATCAGGAGTTGATGTTGTACTTAAATTTGTTAATGATTTCGATTCGAATGATTTGATTGACGGAGGAGATTGTTCTTCTACTAAAACTTCTTCTTCTTCTTCTTCTTCCTCCTCTTCTTCATTGTTATTCAATTGTGTTTCTTCCTCGAGAACAGTTCTATGTGATAAAAACGAACAAAAAATTGAAAGAAAAATGTCTTGAAAGTATTTACTGATCTTTGTTCAGGACTCGTTTGATTGTTGTTAGTTCTTCGAGAATATTTTCATGTGTTTTCGTTGCAATTGACATTAATTGTTGTAGTTGTTCATGTGTTGATCTAACAGTGAGAAGTTTCTGTTCGAGATTATGAACGAAATGAATTAAACGTTGAATTGAACTCGGATCGAGAGTCGTTTCTTTCACATCCATTTTTGTTTCGTACAAAGAAAACAAGCAAAATGTAAAATTCAAACATCTACCTTTACCATTTCGAGTGGATNTATTTTCATGTGTTTTCGTTGCAATTGACATTAATTGTTGTAGTTGTTCATGTGTTGATCTAACAGTGAGAAGTTTCTGTTCGAGATTATGAACGAAATGAATTAAACGTTGAATTGAACTTGGATCGAGAGTCGTTTCTTTCACATTCATTTTGGTTTCGTACAAAGAAAACAAGCAAAATGTAAAATTCAAACATCTACCTTTACCATTTCAAGTGGATCAATTCTTTAACAAGAAAGAGAGAGAGAGGAGGAGAAGAAGAAAAAAGAGACGCGAACACGAGTGAAAGAAAAAGAAAAATCTCGTTTTACTTTGAAATCATTTGTTAAAATAACACTTTGCTCGTTGCTGAAAGAAAGAAATCAAACGGTCAAAATAATGATATTGATCAATGAAGGAATGTTTCTTCAGTTGTCGTAGTTACTCAAGTGATTTTGCACAAAAAATAATTATTTCGATTCATTTATTATTAATTCAAAATCAATTTTACATGAACAGATGGACTTCACTTTTTCACAGAATGAAAAGAAGAAGAAGAAGAAAACTATTCCAATACAACACCTTTTTTTAATATTTAGTACATTGACAACGAAATAATGTAAAGCTGAAAAATTGATCGAGATAGTTTCAAAGTCGAAAACCTGATGAAATCAGATTCGATTCAATTTGAAGATCAATTGCAATTGTTGAAAATAAAGTCGCTTGTTCATTGTAACACAACCGATCGACAATATCACAAATGGCATTTCGTCGTCGATATCGTTTCGATTTACAAAATTTCTGATAAATTTTATTATCTTCTCCTTTATCATCTTTGAATTCGTTCGTAAAATTCTGATATAAAATAATATTTTGAAGTAACGGACGCAGATGTGATGCTGATTTCCACCAGTCAAATTCATTTTCATTCGATGCCTGTGCGATATTCTCATTGAATTCGGGTAATAACTGATGTGGACGTAATCGAAGACATAGAGAATGAAGTGATGAGCTCAATGATGGATCGATCGACGAAATAGTTGATCCATGAGATTTCTCTTCTACTGAAACACTTCGACGTAAACAAAGTGGTTTGAGATGTTTGGGCCGAGGAGAAGAACGTCGACGATGTTCTTCACTTGCCATTCGTTTTGCAAATGAACATTAATCTTTCTCTTTTTTTTTTATCTGGATATGTAAGAAAATAAAACAAAGGAAATGAAAGTCTATTTGGTTATTCTGATTAAATGATGTTCAAAGAAAAAGATCATGGCCTTCTTTTTTTAGAATATCATTAACGGGAAATAAAAACAAAGTTAACTGAACAATTCTCACCTGATTTAGTCGAGTTTTAATTGAAAAACTGACTTCCTGTACTAATGACTTTCTCGTTCGTATAAAGAGACGAAGAAAATTAGATTTTGTTTACAGAGTAAACAATGATTTGCAGATGGATTGTCGTTTCCTTCGTTATGCAATTTACAACCGGTAAAATCTATTTTTATCTGATTTTTATCTTGATCAGTGTTGTTATCGAATAGGAATTTCGTTCAATGAACCGAAATTTTGTGTGAATTCATCATGGAATCCATTTGGAATTTCTTTTGCCAGTAATAATACAATTTTTCAGTTTAAACCCGATCATATATTCATTGACAAAACAAATACAATTTATGTAACATCTGGTGACCTCGATTCTGTTTTTATGTGGTCACAAGGAGATTCAAATCAAACACGAGTTCTTTCCAATAATCTCGATGCACCGAGAAGCACTTTTGTTACCGAAAATCGTGATATCTTTGTCGATAATGGTCGAATTCGTCGAATTAATAAATNTATTTTCATGTGTTTTCGTTGCAATTGACATTAATTGTTGTAGTTGTTCATGTGTTGATCTAACAGTGAGAAGTTTCTGTTCGAGATTATGAACGAAATGAATTAAACGTTGAATTGAACTCGGATCGAGAGTCGTTTCTTTCACATCCATTTTTGTTTCGTACAAAGAAAACAAGCAAAATGTAAAATTCAAACATCTACCTTTACCATTTCGAGTGGATCAATTCTTTAACAAGAGGGAGAGAGAGAAGAGAAGAAGAAGAAAAAAAGAGACGCGAACACGAGTGAAAGAAAAAGAAAAATCTCGTTTTACTTTGAAATCATTTGTTAAAATAACACTTTGCTCGTTGATGAAAGAAAGAAATCAAACGGTCAAAATAATGATATAGATCAATGAAGGAATGTTTCTTCAGTTGTCGTAGTTACTCAAGTGATTTTGCACAAAAAATAATTATTTCAACTCATTTATTATTAATTCAAATCAATTTTACATGAACAGATGGAATTTGCTTTTTCACAGGATGAAAAGAAGAAGAAAACTATTCCAATACAACACCTTTTTTTTTAATATTTAGCACATTGATAAAGAAATGATATAAAGCTGAAAAATTGATCGAGATAGTTTCAAAGTCGAAAACCTGATGAAATAAGATTCGATTCAATTTGAAGATCAATTGCAATTGTTGAAAATAAAGTTGCTTGTTCATTGTAACACAACCGATCGACAATATCACAAATGGCATTTCGTCGTCTATATCGTTTCGATTTACAAAATTTCTGAAAAATTTTATTATCTTCTCCTTTATCATCTTTAAATTCATTCGTAAAATTTTGATATAAAATAATCTTTTGAAGTAATGGACGTATATGTGATGCTGATTGCCACCAGTCAAATTCATTTTCATTCGATGCTTGTGCGATATTCTCATTGAATTCGGGTAATAACTGATGTGGACGTAATCGAAGACATAGACAATGAAGTGATGAGCTCAATGATGAATCGATCGAAGAAATAGTTGATCCATGAGATTTCTCTTCTACTGAAACACTTCGACGTAAACAAAGTGGTTTGAGATGTTTAGTCGGAGGAGAAGAATGTCGACGATGTTCTTCACTTGCCATTCGTTTTGCAAATGAACATTAATCTTTCTCTTTTTTTTTTATCTGGATATGTAAGAAAATAAAACGAAGGAAATGAAAGTCTATTTGGTTATTCTGATTAAATGATGTTCAAAGAAAAAGATCATGGCCTTCTTTTTTTAGAATATCATTAACGGGAAATAAAAACAAAGTTAACTGAATAATTCTCTGCTGATTTAGTCGAGTTTTAATTGAAAAACTTACTTCCTGTACTAATGACTTTCTCGTTCGTATAAAGAGACGAAGAAAATTAGATTTTGTTTACAGAGTAAACAATGATTTGCACATGGATTGTCATTTCCTTCGTTATGCAATTTACAACCGGTAAAATCTATTTTCAGCTTATTTTTATCTTGATCAATGTTGTTATCGAATAGGAATTTCGTTCAATGAACCGAAATTTTGTGTGAATTCATCATGGAATCCATTTGGAATTACTTTTGCCAGTAATAATACAATTTTCCAGTTTAAGCCCGAGCATATATTCATTGACAAAACAAATACGATTTATGTAACATCTGGTGACCTTGATTCTGTTTTTATCTGGTCACAAGGAGATTCAAATCAAACACAAGTTCTTTCCAATAATCTCGATGCGCCGAGAAGCACTTTTGTTACCGAAAATCGTGATATCTTTGTCGATAATGGTCGAATTCGTCGAATTAATAAATATACATTCAATTCATCACTCAATCCTTTCATAATTACTGTTCTTGGACAATGTACTGGATTATTTATTGATCATAATAATACTATCTACTGTTCTTTGAATAGTTTTCATCAAGTAGTCTCGGGATTTCTCGTGTCTGGAATGAATCTTTCGAGAATTATAGCAGGAAATGGAACACAAGGATGAACATCGGATTTACTTAAATATCCAAATGGAATTTACGTCGATAAGAATTTCACGTTATACGTCGCTGATTCGGGAAATCATCGAATACAAAGATTTGATCAAGGACAAACAAATGGAATAACTTTTGTTGGAATTGGAGGAATTTATTCTTTTAATCTTCAAGGTCCTCTCGGAATCGCTTTTGATGGATATGGAAATTTGTTTATTGTCGAACGAACTGCCAGTCGAGTAGTAGCAACTAGTCCCAATGGTGTCTGGTGTGTAATTCGATGCTCATCATCAACTGGATCAGGATCGAATCAATTGTATTATCCATCAAGTCTTACTTTTGACAACTTAGGAAATCTTTATGTGGTCGATAATGGAAATAATCGAGTACAAAAATTCTTCATCAATCCAAATTCTTGTGGTAAGATGAACAATCTGTGATTTTAATCAACAATTTCATATCTGTTTAGTTGAATTAACAACAACTTCAGTATTCGAGTCAACTGGTGAGTGATCGAAGTAGATTTTTCAGTGCAACGATACATTTATATTTTGAGAACTTTGCTATTTTAAATTCTAATAGTACAAGAATGTTCTCCTAACAATATATGAGTTGATTAGAAAACAACTGAATAACACATGAAGCACTCGAAATATCTTCAAATTCATTTGAGAATATTTTCATTGCACTTAGAAAAACAATTTCCGTTGACGTAAAAAATACTGATTCCCCTCGTATATTTGTGTAGATCAATCAACATCATCTCCATGGATGTCAACAAGTTTATTTAATAGTGCAAAAGAATCTCGATTTTCTCATTCAACTGTGATAACGTTCGAAACGACAAAAAACAATTTAACGAATTTCAATTGTTCTATTCCAAGAATTAAATTAATACCGAATGATACATTATTAACAACACCGATCAAATTTCGTCGAAGTGATGATTTTTATCTGAACTCTATGATTATCTTCGAATGTAATCAATCTCATCCATTCACTTCTCAATGGAAATTTTTTAATTGTGGATTGACATGTGAAAATGAATTACATTTCAATTCATCATTAATCATCAATCGAAATGAATTGTATATTCCTAAACAAATATTTCCTTATGGAATTTATGAATTGAAATTAATAATTAATAGTTCAATATCATCATCGATTTTTATCGAAATAATTCCAACGAATATCATTGTTCATTTAATTCAATATGGAACTTCGATGATTACAATTAGTGTGGAAGATAATTTAATTTTAAATCCAGGAAAATATTCAATTGATCCCGATTCAAATCTTTTCAATTCAAATGTAAAAGAATTTTGTCATTTTATCTGATTAAAAAACATATTTTTTTTATCAATAGGATTGGATTTATGAATATTCGTGTCAAATTGATCATAATGAAACTTTTTTAATAAATTCTTCTCAATCCTTATTATTCATTCCTCGTAATTCACTTATTCCTAACAAAACCTATGAATTCCAAGTCAAATTAACTCATTACAATTATCCCAATTTACAAGGCATTGGTTATCTTTCAATAAGAACTGAATCTCTTTCAATTCCAATGATTCTCATCTCGTATGTTTTCATTTGAAGAGAATTTTTCTCATTTGAATCGTTTTTTTTCATTAAGTTGTCTCATTCCAACAATGTGTTTCTCAAATTTTGAATATGAATACATCAATCCCACAACTCAACTCTCACTTTTCTCCATCTGTCAAGGCAACTGTTCATCGATTCATCATATTACTTGGAAGATTTATCAACAAATAACCGACGATACTCAATGGAAATTATTCTCTTACAATAATGAATATCAATTGAATACGAGCAATTTAACGATAGAGAAAACAATCTTTTCTGAATATCCAAATGTATCTTATTGGAGATTTGAAGTGATTTATACATTTGAAAGACGAATTAGTTCGAGTTCATTAAATTTCGTGATCAATTATCCACCGAGAAATGGTTCTTGTTCAATTAATCCTTCACATGGAACAACAAAGACTTTCTTCAAGATTATCTGTTCAGATTGGTTTGATGAAAATCTCATCACAGATTATTCAATTTACGGTAGAGAAATCTTTTTTTCTCGTGAATAATTCCAAATCTGATGTTTTCTAGTGAATGATGACTCCGAGAAAATCATGATCGGAACAAGTTTTCTTCCGATTTTCGAAGTTTATCTACCAATTGGCTTTAATCAAACCATTCTTGTTCATATTCAAGATGAATTCAACGCAATGACAATCGTCAAACTATGTTCTATTCAAGTCATTCCAGATTCGAATGAAATCAGTGAATTTGTTGATTGGTCTGTTCGATTATTAACAAGTGGAAATCAAAATCTTATCACACAAATGTTCATTTCAATATCACAGATCATCAATTCGATAAACACATCGAATTCAACTGAATTTGTTACTATTCGAGAATTTTTACTCCCATACATCACCAATCTTCCAATTACAACTACAGAAAGTATCAAACTTCAATCTTCAGCCTTATCTCAACTAACAATGATAACAAATCAATTAACTCGAACGACTTCTGTGAGAATTCTACTGATTTTCCATTATTTTCATCTCTTTTTTTCTATTCAAAGACATTGGCTTCGACGAAATGTTATGAATTATCTATTGTTTTACAATCCCGAGCAGATGAAATTTCGTATGAAGATGTTCAAATAGCGGCAGATGCGATTCTTCAATGTGCTGCGAATTGTTTCACGGTAAAAGATTGGAATTTGACGATTGAAATTGAATTGTTGATCTTTAGGCGATCAATGAACCATTGCAAGAACTAATGACGGTTTTAGATTTGGATTTTGATCGTGCAAATGCATTGCCGGATGATTATGATACTGATTTAGAATCAATTTGGTCGAATCCGAGTAGATTTTTTGATTTGATCGATGTTTTCTAAGCGGATTCTTCAGATTTCTTCGCGGATGGTGACGATTTTTCGGTTGCGACGATTGAAAAACGCAGAAATGTGTATTATCAACAGCAAACGGTGAGAAAATCTTGAGAAATATTCGTTTGAGAAGATTTTTTATTTGTTTGAATGAAAAGGCCAATCGAATCGGATTTGAATTTCTCAAAACAGTGTCCTCAGTCACAGCTGCGTTGCAAATTCATCTAAATCTCGGTGAAAAGATCGTTTTTAACAGTTCATCGATCATCTTTTCCTTAGAAAAACTTCGTTTTAACATGTTACCCAACAAACGAATTAAACTATCTGAAAATTCTCAAATCCGATTTCTCAATTTCCTCACCAACGGCACTGAACTCGTCACGCTACGAGTAAAATCCTTCCTTTTTTAAAAATTTCAATCCCAAATTTTCCCTTCTCTATAGTCGATTCTTCTTCCACTCGCTCCCTACGGTTCGTCCTCCTACGAAATCTCCACAAATCTCTCCACATTGCTCTCCTGTTCGTTACTTGATTCCAATTCTCACATCATAACAGTGAACACATCAATCGAATTTCATATCGAACGAGATCTGAAACGGCAAATTCCATCGATGGTCATGCAGAATGTCACGTCGATAAATTCTTCATTGAGTTTACACTTTCTCAATCTAACACGAAGAAACAATTTGAGTATTTCATTCCATTTCGAAATGCATCCAATGGATCTCTTTACAAATTCGATCAAATACCTCGATTGACTGATTTCGATGGTTCAACAGTTTTCTGCTCATCGAGTATGTATTTCTCTTTTAGGAAAAATATCTGATGAAATCTCTTTCAGTAGACAGTCTATCGAGTGAAAATTTCTACACGTATTTTCTTGATAATCAGCAAATTTCTTCATATCAATCGATCGTCATTGGATTACGAGAATTAAATTTCACCGAAATGGAACATTTTTGTTCAAACAATTCCTCATTAACCATAAATTCATTATCTCCTTCGACTTTTTCATCAAATTATGAAATACGTGTTTATACATCTGGTTGTTATTATCTCGATTCTGAGAATAATTGGCAATCGGATGGATTAATCGTATGTTGAGTTCATTTCTAACTAAGTTTTATTGTCATTTTTTGTTCAAGGTTGGTTCGTTGACGAATTTAAACTTTACACAATGTTATTCGAATTATCCAGCAACAGTAGCAACTGCTTTGCACTTTTTACCATTACCGATCGATTGGGATTATGTATTCGCTCATGCAGATTTTATGAAAAATCCTACGATTTACATGGCAATCATATCTGTAGGAATTATCTATCTGATTTTGATTANGTCGCTGATTCGGGAAATCATCGAATACAAAGATTTGATCAAGGACAAACAAATGGAATAACTTTTGTTGGAATTGGAGGAATTTATTCTTTTAATCTTTAAGGTCCTCTCGGAATTGCTTTTGATGGATATGGAAATTTGTTTATTATCGAACGAACTGCCAGTCGAGTAGTAGCAACTAGTCCCAATGGTGTCTGGTGTGTAATTCGATGCTCAACATCAACTGGATCAGGATCGAATCAATTGTATTATCCATCAAGTCTTACTTTTGACAACTTAGGAAATCTTTATGTGGTCGATAATGGAAATAATCGAGTACAAAAATTCTTCATCAATGCAAATTCTTGTGGTAAAATGAACAATCTGTGATTTTAATCAACAATTTCATATCTGTTTAGTTGAATTAACAACAACTTCAGTATTCGAGTCAACTGGTGAGTGATGAAAGTAGATTTTTCAGTGCAACGATACACTTGTATTTTCAGAACTTTTCTATTTTAAATTCTAATAGTACAAGAATGTTCTCTTAACAATCTATGAGTTGATTAGAAAACAACTGAAAACACATGAAGCACTCGAAATATCTTCAAATTCATTTGAGAATATTTTCATTGCACTTAGAAAAACAATTTCCGTTGACTTAAAAAGTACTGATTCCCCTCTTATATTTGTTTAGATCAATCAACATCATCTCCACGGATGTCAACAAGTTTATTCGATAGTACAAAAGAATCTCGATTTTCTCACTCAACTGCGATAACGTTCGAACCGATAAAAGACAATTTAACGAATTTCAATTGTTCTATTCCAAGAATTAAATTAACACCGAATGATACACTATTAACAACACCGATCAAATTTCGTCGAAGTGATGATTTTTATCTGAACTCTATGATTATCTTCGAATGTAATCAATCTCATCCATTCACTTCTCAATGGAGATTTTTTAATTGTGGATTAACATGTGAAAATGAATTCCATTTCAATTCATCATTAATCATCACTCGAAATGAATTGTATATTCCTAAACAAGTATTTCCTTATGGAATTTATCAATTGAAATTAATAATCAATAGTTCAATATCATCATCGATTTTTATCGAAATAATTCCAACGAATATCATTGTTCATTTAATTCAATATGGAACTTCGATGATTACAATTAGTGTGGAAGATGATTTGATTTTAAATCCAGGAAAATATTCAATTGATCCCGATTCAGTTCTTTTCAATTCAAATGTAAAAGAATTTTATCATTTTATCTGATTAAAAACATATTTTTTTCATCAATAGGATTGGATTTATGAATATTCGTGTCAAATTGATCATAATGAAACTCTTTTAATAAATTCTTCTCAATCCTCATTATTCATTCCTCGTAATTCACTTATTTCTAACAAAACCTATGAATTCCAAGTCAAATTAACCCATTACAATTATCCCAATTTACAAGCCATTGGTTATCTTTCGATAAGAACTGAATCTCATTCAATTCCAATGATTCTCATCTCGTACGTTTTCATCTGAAGAGAATTTTTCTCATCTGAATCATTGTTTTTTTTCCTTAAGTTGTCTCATTCCAACGATGTGTTTCTCAAATTTTGAATATCAATACATCAATCCCACAAGTCAACTCTCACTTTTCTCCATCTGTCAAGGCAACTGTTCATCGATTCATCATATTACTTGGAAGATTTATCAACAAATAACCAACGATACTCAATGGAAATTCTTCTCTTACAACAATGAATATCAATTGAATACGAGCAATTTAACGATAGAGAAAACAATCTTTTCTGAATATCCAAATGTATCTTATTGGAGATTCGAAGTGATTTACACATTTGAAAGACGAATTAGTTCGAGTTCATTATATTTCGTGATGAATTATCCACCGAGAAATGGTTTTTGTTCAATTAATCCTTCACATGGAACAACAAAGACTTTGTTCAAGATTATCTGTTCAGATTAGTTTGATGAAAATCTCATCACAGATTATTCAATTTACGGTAGAGAAATCTTTTTTCTCGTGAATAATTCCAAATCTGATGTCTTTCTAGTGAATGATGACTCCGAGAAAATCATGATCGGAACAAGTTTTCTTCCGATTTTTGAGGCTTATCTACCAATTGGCTTCAATCAAACCATTCTTGTTCATATTCAAGATGAATTCAACGCAGTGACAATCGTCAAACTATGTTCTATTCAAGTCATTCCAGATTCGAATGAAATCAATGAATTTGTTGATTGGTCTGTTCGATTATTAACAAGTGGAAATCAAAATCTTATCACACAAATGTTCATTTCAATATCACAGATGATCAATTCGATAAACACATCGAATTCAACTGAGTTCATTACTATTCGAGAATTTTTACTCCCATACATTACCAATCTTCCAATTACAACTACAGAAAGTATCAAACTTCAATCTTCAGCCTTATCTCAACTAATAATGATAACAAATCAATTGACTCGAACGACTTCCGTGAGAATTCTACTGATTTTCCATTATTTTTAACTCTTTTTTCTATTCAAAGACATTGGCTTCGACGAAATGTTATGAATTATCTATTGTTTTACAATCCCGAGCAGATGAAATTTCCTATGAAGATGTTCAAATAGCGGCAGATGCGATTCTTCAATGTGCTGCGAATTGTTTTACGGTAAAAGATTGAAATTTGACAATTGAAATTGGATTGTTGATCTTTAGGCGATCAATGAACCATTGCAAGAACTAATGACGGTTTTAGATTTGGATTTTGATCGTGCAAATACACTGCCGAATGATTATGATACTGATTTAGAATCAATTTGGTCGAATCCGAGTAGATTTATTGATTTGATCGATGTTTTCTAAACGGATTCTTCAGATTTCTTCGCGGATGGTGACGATTTTTCGGTTGCGACGATTGAAAAACGCAGAAATGTGTATTATCAACAGCAAACGGTGAGCAAATCTTGAGAAATATTCGTTTGAGAAGATGTTTTATTTGTTCTAATGAAAAGGCCGATCGAATCGGATTTGAATTTCTCAAAACAGTGTCCTCAGTCACAGCTGCATTGCAAATTCATCTAAATTTCGGTGAAAAGATCGTTTTTAACAGTTCATCGATCATCTTTTCCTTAGAAAAACTTCGTTTTAATATGTTACGCAACAAATGAATTAAACTATCTGAAAATTCTCAAATCCGATTTCTCAATTTCCTCACCAACGGCACTGAACTCGTCACGCTACGAGTAAAATCCTTCCTTTGTTTTTATTTCAATCCTAAATTTTCTCTTCTCTATAGTCGATTCTTCTTCCACTCGCTCCCTATGGTTCGTCCTCCTACGAAATCTCCACAAATCTCTCCACATTGCTCTCCTGTTCGTTACTTGATTCCAATTCTCTCATCATAACAGTGAACACATCAATCGAATTTCATATCGAACGAGATCTGAAACGGCAAATTCCATCGATGATCATGCAGAATGTCACATCGATAAATTCTTCATTGAGTTTACACTTTCTCAATTTAACACGAAGAAACAATTTGAGTATTTCATTCCATTTCGAAATGCATCCAATGGATCTCACGCGATCTTATTTATTTCTTTACAAATTCGATCAAATACTTCGATTGACTGATTTCGATGGTTCAACAATTTTCTGTTCGTCGAGTATGTGTTTCTCTTTTAGAAAAAATATCAGATGAAATCTCTTTCAGTAGATCTGTCGAGTGAAAATTTCTACACGTATTTTATTGATAATCAGCAAATTTCTTCATATCAATCGATCGTCATTGGATTACGAGAATTGAATTTCACCGAAATGGAACATTTTTGTTCAAACAAATCCTCATTAACCATAAATTCATTATCTCCTTCAACTTTTTCATCGAATTATGAAATACGCGTTTATACATCTGGTTGTTATTATCTCGATTCCGAGAATAATTGGCAATCGGATGGATTAATCGTATGTTGAATTTATTTCCAACTAAGTTTTATTGTCATTTTTTGTTCAAGGTTGGTTCGTTGACGAATTTAAACTTTACACAATGTTATTCGAATTATCCAGCAACAGTAGCAACTGCTTTGCACTTTTTACCATTACCGATCGATTGGGATTATGTATTCGCTCATGCAGATTTTATGAAAAATCCTACGATTTACATGGCAATCATATCTGTAGGAATTATCTATCTGATTTTGATTANAACTAAGTTTTATTGTCATTTTTTGTTCAAGGTTGGTTCGTTGACGAATTTAAACTTTACACAATGTTATTCGAATTATCCAGCAACAGTAGCAACTGCTTTGCACTTTTTACCATTACCGATCGATTGGGATTATGTATTCGCTCATGCAGATTTTATGAAAAATCCTACGATTTACATGGCAATCATATCTGTAGGAATTATCTATCTGATTTTGATTATTTACGCACGATTTCAAGATAATAAACACATGAGCAATGTATGACGAAAGTCTCTGATTCATTACTTTTAAACTTTTCTATTTGCTTTAGTTTAACATACCTGTTTTATTAGATAATAACAATTCTAATCAATATGCGTATAAAATTACGGTTCAAACAGGATTTCGAACTGGTGCGGACACTAAATCGAAAGTAAATCATCTCTTTCACAAAAAAAAACAAATCGTTATTGATTTTCACTGAAGGTTCATTTTGTTCTCGGTGGTGATAATCATACGACGAATATTCGAACATTTACTAATCCTTATCGACAAATTTTTCAGCGTGGTGGAATCGATAGATTTATCATCACGACTCCAAAGTAAATAAAAGTATTTTCTTGTGATTTTATATCTTATTTGAGTAAAGATCGTTGGGAAAGTTGAATTATATTCACCTTTGGCATGATAATACTGGTTTCGGTTCGAATGCATCGTGGTTTTTGAAATGTATCATCGTTCATGATTTACAAACAAACGAAAACTTTTCGTTCATTTGTCAACGATGGTTAGCGGTGGAATTTGATGATGGCGCGGTTTGTTTCGAGGATATTTGTGAGGTTTTCTATAGTTTTTGAATAGATCGAACGACTTCTTCCCGTTGCAAATGAAATTGAAAAGAAGAATTTCGAAAATTTATTATGGAATAAAATGTATGAAAACGCTTCCGATGGTCATTTATGGTTTTCAATCTTTACTCGATTGAACTCCACTCGATTCACTCGTGTTCAACGATGTACATGTTGTTTTGTTTTATTTTTCATCACAATGCTTTTTAATATTCTCTATTATCAACAAATCGATGATTTGAAAACAAGCAATCAAAATGGATTTTCACTTGGTCCATTTTACATTTCTTTCAATCAGGTTCACCCGAGGATTTTCATTTGAAAGCTTCTTTATGGATATTTGTTTAGATTATTATTGGAATCATCATTGAATTATTCTCGTTATTTCCAAGTATTTTACTCGTTCAATTCTTTCGACGTATTCGCTCAAAAGGAGATCATCGGTCATATCGACAATTGATGTTTCCTTCCTGGTGTCTTTACATTGCTTTTAGTTTGTCGTTCTTGTTTGTTGGTGTGTCGGTATTGTTTATTCTTGCGCGTGGAATTGAATTAGGAGACGTAAAAGTGAAGAAATGGTTAACATCGACTGCGACAGGATTTTTCTCATCTGTTTGTTTGACGCAACCATTGCAGGTCATTGAAATGAATTCGATTTTGGAAAATATCGCTTGGTTTGTTTAGATTTTGGGTTTGACGGTGTTCGCGATGGTTTTCTTCTCGAAAAACGATCATTCGGCTGAATCTTTGAAGGTTTCAAATGGAAAATTTGTTTCTACAACGGATGTGAGTTGATGTTTCAATGAGTTTCTAGAATTAATCTTGATTTGTTCGAAGAAATCACCGCCTATTCGCTTGCAGAAACACGAATTAATCAACGCGCGACATCATCGTTTGAAAGAAATCCGTTTTCATTCAATCATCAATGAATTTCTCTCCTATGGATTTTTCCTCTGCACGATTTATTTGATAAACTATTTGAATTGTAATCAAAATGGATTTTATGAAGTCAATCACTTACGAAAATTCTTCCTACGATCTTCTCGAACAAGTTACGATTATAATCAAGTAATCAAAGTCAATTTTTTAGATTTTTTGGATTTTATGAAAGTTTCGAATAGATAAAAACAGTTGATGAATGTTGGTCGTGGTTGGAGAACAGTTTTGTTGAGAATCTTCGAGCGCAAAAATGGTACAATGATCAGCCACCTCGAGATTTATCGGGATTTCTCAATGATAAAACAAATCGATTGATTGGATGGGCAACAATGCGACAATTACGAGTTAAAACCGGTAAATATGAAATCTTCCGAAGAAATGAGAGATGGAAAATTGATAATTTTAGAATTATGTGCAATTCATTCCAAAATTAAATCTGTCAATTTGACTTGTAGAAATGAATACAATTTTGTCAATGAAGAACGGAATTCTTTTCTACCTGGATGGAAAAAAAATGAATCCACGAGAAATTACAGTTCATCGATTTCCAATGCTTTTAAATATCGATTAAATTCTCAATTGAACACAAATGTTTACGAAGGTGAACATGAAACTTACAATATTGGTGGATATATCTATGAATTTCGTGGTCGTTTATCTGAAATTCGAACAAATCTTTCTCTTCTTCATCAATTAAACTGGATCGATCATCAAACCAAAGCGATTCTTATTGAAATTAGTCTATACAATCCAAACATTCAAATGTTCATTTCTGTCAATTTTCTCCTGGAATTTTTATCAACCGGTGGTATTTTCCCGACTACACGTTTTCAACCGTTGAACATTCAAAGTTTGTTTTCTCATTTCTTCACACAAACAAACTCACTAAAATGAATATTTCTCTCATTTAGCTTTGACATCGCTCTGTGATTTACTTGTAATTATAATTTACACGTTGTTTATCATTTACTTTATGATATATCAATATCAATCGATGTCTCGTTCAAAATTGTTATATTTTTGTCAATTTTGGTCGTGGGTTAATCTTGGAATTATATTTTGTTCATGGACAGCTGCTGGAATTTACATTCGAAGATACAAAGAAGCGAAACGAATTGGAGAAATGTTTCGCGAAAGTAATGGTTACGTATTTGTCGATCTCCAATTGGCGGTTCATCTCAATGATTTGTTCAATTTTCTTCTTAGTTTCTGTTGTTTCTTGGGAACTATCAAATTAATTGATATTCTCAGATTCTATGAACGTTTATCGATATTTACTCGAACATTAAATCACATCCGAAGAGAATTATTTCTGTTTATGTTGATGTTTTTAATGATATTCTTCTCTTTCATTTGTTTATTTTATCAATTATTCCATTCAAAAATCTGGTCTTGTTCAAGTTTATTACGAACATCAGCGATGCTTTTCGAAAAGAGTTTATTAAAATTTGATGTCAAGAATTTTTATACATCAAATGAAATTCTTGGACGAATAAGTTTTACTTTATTCATCGTTTTTNGAAGAGAATTATTTCTGTTTATGTTGATGTTTTTAATGATATTCTTCTCTTTCATTTGTTTATTTTATCAATTATTCCATTCAAAAATCTGGTCTTGTTCAAGTTTATTACGAACATCAGCAATGCTTTTCGAAATGAGTTTATTAAAATTTGATGTCAAGGATTTTTATACATCAAATGAAATTCTTGGACCAATAAGTTTTACTTTATTCATCGTTTTTGTTGTATTTATCTGTATGAATATGTTCATTTCAATCATCGTCGATAGTTTTCGTCTCATTCAACATCAAGTTAAATTTATTTCGAATGAAAATCATGAAATCTTCATTTATATGAAGAAAAAACTTTCCTATTGGATGGGTTTTCGTCGACGAGAAGAACGTGTACATAAGAAATTCCAATATTTCGATTCAATCGAATATTTTCCAGTTGTAATCGATCGACTAATGGATACCATTACTCGAGTAAGAATTCGATTTCATTAACAAATCCTCGACAATAAATATTAATATCTTTTAGATCTCTTCAGATTATTGAAGAAAATTCATTTCATCGCGCAAAACGAACATGTAATAAGTTTGTTGATTTCCTTTCGAAAAACCGGCTCGATCAATGTATAAGAATAAAAACGTGTTTATTAATTGATTTTATAAATCATCTAAATATCAAACTTGACGAATATTTCTCAATGTTAATAAACCAAATAAGTTCATCAGAAGCGAATGACATAGTGAATACCAGAATATATATTCGATAGAAACTTTTTGCTCACGACATATTCGAATAATATTATCCGATGGATCGGAATCAATCATGATTTCATAGAAAATAATCATATAACAAAACAGAACGATGAAGAAAAGAATAACCAATGAAATTTTGATTTGTGCTGTTCATATTGAACTCATTTGACATAAACGAAGATCTGATTAAATGTGTAAAAGAGTGAACAAGTTTCATGACGAAGAATCGAACGAACGAAGATGTAAAGATTGAATATGACACCGCAATGAAAACGATTTTGAATGAGATTTGATTGAGTTCATTAACGATAATTTCTGTGGTGTTTATAACATTGTATTTGGAAAATAGAGATAAGTAAACGTGTTGTTTTCTTGTTTAGTCGGATTTAACTTATTAAAGCGTTTCTATGACCTGTTTTCAGATAGATTAATCTGAATTATTTCACTGAAAAGATCAAACATCGTCGCAAATTTTTCCGCTTTGAACTTCCATATCTCTCATTTTGTCTATGTATTAACAAAATGCGCTCAATGACAGACTTTCTCAATTCACATCAAATCTTTGTTATTTATGAAAAGTTCTTCTATCGAATTGATTTTCATACAGATTATTTATTTTGGAAATCGAAGTCTACAAAATGTTCTTTACGTACACGTTGATGTGATCGGAGGCATTTGTGAATGTGGTGTGAAACTATTCATTTGCTGTTGTTGTAAAAGGAATGCAGCCGTAGCAGCTGCCTGAGCTTCATTTCTTGCTTTACGAATTCGTATGTGTACACATCGAAGGATTATCAATACAATTGTAATAACCAATGAAATTGGAAGAAGAATATATATCAGTAATGTATAATTGAATATAATACCACCAGATGATGGTTTTTTAGTTGTTGATGTTTTTCTGGTTGTCAAAATTCTTCTTGATGTTGTCGAAATATTCATCGAATCCATTGTTTGTCCGAATACAAATAGAATTGCATGTTGTAATAGAAAAAGAGAGAGCGTTTGTTTGATAATTGTCGTCATAACAAGGAATGCGTATTGTTTGAACTAAACAACTTTTCTTTTCTTTTCTATTTTTAAAATGAACTCCATCATACAGAATGTTAATTTGCAAATAGTTGATACTCAAAAACACAAGTGATGACTCATCGAACATTTCCTTATCATTCTTTTTTTTCTCTTCTAATACGATTTGCACGTATCATTTCTAATCACTGTAGAAGTGTCTTCGAAACGGCACGATACACTTTTTTTGACTTTCTCGTCTGCCAATGTGTTTCTCATTAGGAAGTTTTTTATTGCTAAATTCAACGTGGTATTCGAATGAAATGATAACGATCATTAAGATATGTAATGATGATATTTGCTCATGGCCAGTGTCGTCTGGATCATCCCCATCGACGTTCCGATTGTGTTTAACAACTTTTTATGTTATTATTTACGCAAATCATCAGAGCACTTTTATGGACTAGTGACCTTTATGGAGGGTAATCAAAAGTAGAGATATATTTGGAAATAATGATGATGTAAAAGTTCCATGTTATTACAATCGAATGAAGCCAGGTGTTCCCAAATAGCACAAACCATATAAGAGAAACTTCCGAATAGAGATTCTTTTTACTACGACGATTTTTACATCGAGTATTATTTTATGAATTATTTAGTTTGAATTAAAAAGTACTCTAAGGAGAAAGTTTGTGTGAGACTACCATTATCGGTTATTACAATCGACAATTTAAAGGAGTTCTTTTCAATGCGTCAGTGATTTTGATGAACTACTGTGCCATGACCGATTGCTCTTGGTGCTGGGAGCAAACGAAGCATTTTTGTTTGAAATAAATGAACCAATTCTCGACGGAAGATTTCCGAGGAGACGAGAAAATTTGTAAATGTCAAGGAAAATCCCAGATAAACGAAAAGATACGTCATGTTACCCATAAATATCTCAGTCGCATGACGAAATGAAGATCTAGCCAGTTGTAATGTTATTGAATGATATACAAGAAAACAAGGATTAGGTAGATTGAGAATTAGAAATAAGATGATTTGATTAGCCAACATTCGATGTAATTGAAGATCTTTCTTAGATATTCTACTCCTTTGGCCTCCGACAATCCTCATCTTTGTTTTATGAATATTTCGCACTGTCAATAAACCGAAGATCAACATCAAGAGTAAGGGAAGAATACCACTATCAATTGCGATGTAAATACTAAAGAAAATTCCATAGCCATCTGATCGATAGTTACAAGTATCTGTACTTGTTTCATAGAATACAAGAACTTGAATATAGATTATAGACCAAAAGAGAATATTACCAATAATCAGTCGAAGAGTAGTTTTTGGTGAACTCCATCGACGTCGTAGAGCATTTCGTGAACTGGCAAAATAACGATCAATCGATGCCAAGATGACATAATAACGCGGAACAGCCACAAAAATATAAAAGAGATAAAAGCGAATTTTACAATACCAAAGATTATAATTGAGAGTGCGAATGTCATATCCATAGTGCAACATACGAGTAAGTAGAGCAAAATTATAAGTAAAAAACTGCGAAAGACTAGCAGCGAAGAAAAACATTGCACATGGAGTGTTTCGGTAAGTTGGTTGAGTAAAAATAATACACATAAGAATTGAACCAATATTTCCAACAAACCAAATGAGACCCATAAAATATTGACTAATAGTTTTGTTTAAATTATTGACCATGTCAATAAGTTCAATTTGATCATCGATGGCAAGAGTCACAGTACTGTTTGTGATTATATTCGACATAATTTAAAAGAATCTGAAGAAGATAGAACATATTTTGATGCAGTGTAGCTAGATGGTATCTAAGATGACATACTTATGTCTAATTGAATACACACAATGTTTAATTGAATGTTAAGAGAGCTGTCACAGGCGCATCTACATAATATAATAACGGATGAAATACTCTTTTCTCACTATTAACTTAATATGAGAGATATTCCGAGAACATTAAGCTCGTCTCTTATCCGTGATCTACTACTCTGGGCTCAACACTGTGTATCTCATCGCGCTCTTCTTCTTCTTCTACTAACTGAATTGTCTTCTATCGACTCCTAAATGAGTTTCTTTGCGGTCCAAATTAATGACATCATTTCCGGTTGCACAATTTGTGCGATCAAACTTTTCCATTTAGACACGATTTCATGCAGACATGTATACTTCACATTTAATGAGCATCACATGACACCGCGAAAGTGCTAATAAGCTCAAAACGAACGTATAGAGGACATGAGATAGTTTATTACTATTCTAAATGGATTTTACCATAATTATGCATGAATAATCCATTTAATGGAATGAAAAAATGAAATGAACAGATGGATTCTTTTGTATCCTCAACCCACGTGAGAATTTCTATTATATCATCCAAAGAAAAATTTTCTTTCAGACGTCGGTATTTTATCTCCTTCGATATTATCATTTAAACAATTTCGTCGTTATTTCTACTTGTTAACCGATCCAATAGATCCCAATTCTTATGTCTATGATTTCTGTGACATTTTCTTGACAAAATATATTTCACTACAGCAGTCTAATAAATTCATTAACTTTCGTCAAATTTTTTTCTAGACAAATATAAAACATCGCAATGAATAACACCAACATCATCTCCAATGATGATCACATCGTTTCACTTCTCAATTTTCTCAACAAAATCATCTCAGAAATTGGTTTTGCTTTTGTTCTCTTTCTTGGAAATATTGGTTCGATTCTTATGTGTATTATTTTTACTCAACCAACTTACCGAAACACTCCATGTGCAATGTTTTTCTTTGCTGCTAGTCTTTCGCAGTTTTTTACTTATAATTTTGCTCTACTTACTCGTATGTTGCACTATGGATATGACATTCGCACTCTCAATTATAATCTTTGGTATTGTAAAATTCGCTTTTATCTCTTTTATATTTTTGTGGCTGTTCCGCGTTATTATGTCATCTTGGCATCGATTGATCGTTATTTTGCCAGTTCACGAAATGCTCTACGACGTCGATGGAGTTCACCAAAAACTACTCTTCGACTGATTATTGGTAACGCTCTCTTTTGGTCTATAATCTATATTCAAGTTCTTGTATTTTATGAAACAAGTACAGGTACTTGTAACTATCGATCAGGTGGTTATGGAATTTTCTTTAGTATTTATATCGCAATTGACAGTGGTATTCTTCCCTTACTCTTGATGTTGATCTTCGGTTTATTGACAGTGCGAAATATTCATAAAACAAAGATGAGGATTGTCGGAGGCCAAAGGAGTAGAATATCTAAGAAAGATCTTCAATTACATCGAATGTTGGCTAATCAAATCATCTTATTTCTAATTCTCAATCTACCTAATCCTTGTTTTCTTGTCTATAGTTCATTTGCTTTGAATATTTCAAAATCAGCAATTCAAAATGCAGCAGAAACATGGGTGAGTAACATGACGTATTTTCTAGTTTATCTGGGATTTTCTTTAACATTTACGAATTTCATGATTTCATCGGATTTATTTCGAAAAGAATTTTTCTATTTATTTCAAACAAAAATACTCCGTCGTCGCATCGTTATGAATAGAACTGATGGTGGCCAATCGATAATGTTGCAAACGGTTCATCAACATGACACTAATGTTTAGAACTGTTGGACACGCTCATAAGTAAATGTTCATCTTTAACTCTTCTCTTTGAATAATCACTGAGAAATGTCTTTGTCAATTTTCGATGAAAATGGAAACCTGGATGTGTTGCATATTTTCACTCGCTTATAGTTCTATTTGTTGTCAGTATGAAAAAAAATAATCAAGAAGCTTTTTTATCTATTTGTTCACAAAAGAATATTTTCTGTGTATTATTTCGATGTTGTAATTTCTTGGACAAATGCTCATTCAATCGGATGATTCCGAGTGTTTGGTAAATATTGCCAAACATCTTCTGTTGCTTATTAAGTTATTCTAGAAAGTAGATTTAATAAAATTTCTATGACTTTAATTAATCGGAAATGTATTTGTCAAAGTTAAAATTTCAGTTGAAATTGAACTCAGTTTGTATAATTGATGCTAAACAGAATCGAAACTAAATATGAATATCAGTCATTCTTTATGATCATCTTGTAAGAAATATTCTCTTATATACAATATGGATATCAACTTAAATGTTGATTAGAATTCGATTCTTTTTCATTTGATTGAGATTCATTTCGTCTAAAATTCCGTTTTGTTTTGATGATCGGATTGTTTTCTTTCCTTATTAGAAATCACAAGATTTATGTATAATAACCCTTCCGTTCACAACCTTCTAAAAATGCAATGCTTTGTCAATAAAAATCAAACTAACGAACGACAATTAAAAAAAGCCAAACAACACGGAAGGTTTTCATTCGGCAAAATCTATGCCGTTTGATTTTATTGTTAAAAATAGTCGAATATCCATAAATTCATTCTTAGGTGTTGTTATTTACTTTTCATCGAGTTCAGAGAATAAAACCAACGACAATATATTTATATACTAGGTTGTGTAAAAAGTTCGTGCGCCGTGACAGTAATACCCTACGGTAGGCTTTAAGAAACTTTCTTTCTATATGGTCTGATGGGAAAATGATGCTCTATCTTTCTATACTGTTTGATCCTATTTAAACTATTCTCATAATATTAAATTACCCATAAAACCAATTTCGACTCGGCATGTGCTGGTTGTAAATTTTGCTTCGCAGTTTTCGATTTCTTATTAGTTGTATTAATAAAAAAAATATACTGTAAGATAGAGCGTGAAAAGCTCTACACTCTACACGGTAAAGCCAGTTATTTTATAGTTGTGCTTTTTGTTTGCAAAAACGACAAAGTTTTGAGGGACCAAATTTTTAGTATTGAGATAACTGGTTATATAGGCTTTTCCTTTTTGAAAATAATCAAAGATAAGCTTTACCGTGTAGAGTGTAGAGCTTTTCACGCTCTATCTTACAGTATATTTTTTTTATTAATACAACTAATAAGAAATCGAAAACTGCGAAGCAAAATTTACAACCAGCACATGCCGAGTCGAAATTGGTTTTATGGGTAATTTAATATTATGAGAATAGTTTAAATAGGATCAAACAGTATAGAAAGATAGAGCATCATTTTCCCATCAGACCATATAGAAAGAAAGTTTCTTAAAGCCTACCGTAGGGTATTACTGTCACGGCGCACGAACTTTTTACACAACCTAATATCAAACGGCAAAATATTAATTACCGGTGGATTCAGTAACAATTATCTTAAGAGTGCTGAATTGTATGATTTATTAACTGGAAATTGGACAACAGCGGCAAATATGAATATTGAACGTTCTCAACACACTGCATCGATACTTGCAAATGGAAAAATATTAGTTGCTGGTGGTTACAATGGTAATAGTTCTATCAACACCGCTAAATTATATTAAGATATTTGAAGGAAACAATATTTTTTTCTGAACTAATATGCATAAATTCATATAACAAAAATAAAGTTTTTTAAAACCGATGAATTCACGTTATTTTAAAGTGTGATTATAGCATGAATGATAAAAGCATGTGATACACGTGTCATTCAATACTGTTCAATTATCAAGAACTCAATTAAAGTTGAAAGACTGAAGGATCAGCATAAGTAGAAAATGAAATGATTCAAAATTGTGGGAGATTATGCCTTCACATGCCATTGATTCTTGACAATTGAATATGACTCACTAGTTCTCTTGTGTAAACATAGGTCTCTAATTAACACTGACTATGAACAAATAACATTTTCAATCGAAACATATCACAAACTAAAATAGTTATAACGGTTATCTGATTCACCCAGATGTTTCTAATCTTTCGTTTAGTCGACAAACTCTTAACATACTCTTTGAAAAGTTCTCTTTTCTTCGAGAACATTGCATTATGGCAAATCGAATCGCATTACTTGTTGTTCTAATGATTTCGAATACAATTCACCTTGTTCGTAGTTCATTCACTTTCAACCATGGTCAATCAATTCTTCGACATAGAGTAGAATCTGTTGTTTAGATTTTACTCTGCTGGGCTTTTCACTTCGGAAAAAAGATAAAAGAGGAAGAGAAGGTATTGATACTGTTCTGCTCGAGTATTGTCAATAAATTTATTAAAAAATTAAATAAAAATATTTAATCGATATTTTTATAAAGAAATGCATTTTTTCGTTTCTGCATTTGATAATCAAAACCAATCGTCGGTGTCATTTGCGCAATTTCATTCAAAACACTTTGAACGAATTCTGTTGTCGTCGCTGATCCTCCAATATCCGGCGTTTTCAATTTTCGTTCTTGAATTGTCGTTAAAACCGCTTTCTTTATAACTGAACAATGTTCATCCAGACTACAACGAACTCTTCTTATCACTAATTCAATAAAAAGTGTCTTTACCCTAAGAATTTCAACATATTCGCTGCAGCGAAAAGCATTCCCGATGGATTTGCGATGTTTTTTCCTGCAATACCAATTCCTGTATTTCGTGTTCCTTGCTCGAAAATCGCATAACGATCGCCGTAGTTTGATCCAGCAACAAAACCTGAGCCTCCGACTAGTCCCGCACAGACATTTGCTACAATATTTCCATATAAATTCGGCATAACCATCACATCGAATTGAGTCGGACGATTGACTAGCTGCATACAAGTATTGTCAACAATCATAGTGTCAAATTTGATATCGGAATACTCCGCTGCGACTTCACGACAGCAATCGATGAATAAACCATCGCTTAGCTTCCTTTGCAACGAGAATACAATAGACAGAACGTATACGAAGAGAGATTTACATGATGTTTGCCTTGTGAATTGCCGTGACCTTCTTCCGATCATGATGTTTGACAAGTTCGAAAGCAAAACGGGCGATTTTCAGAGATTTTGCTCGAGTTATAACTATCAAAATCAAAAAAAATTTACATAATGAATATACGAATTTTCAAATTACTTTTTAAACTTTCAACAACACCGGGTACAGACTAAGATAAAAAATAAAAACGGATAGAGTGATTCATCAAGTGATTAGACATACGTCATGTTCAAGTTAACTATATTCTCCTTCGGTATTCTCGCGTACCACAAGAATATCAATGTCAGAATGACGCGTAGGTACCACCGGACTTGTTTTACATCGAATAACATTCGCATANTCATTCGTGCTATAATCGCACTTCAAAATAACATGAATTCATCGGTTTTAAAAAACTTTATTTTTGTTACATGAATTTATGTATATTAGTTCAGAAAAAAATATTTTTTCCTTCAAATATCTTAATATAATTCAGCGGTGTTGATAGAACTGTTACCATTGTAATCACCAGCAACTAATATTTTTCTATTTGCAAATATCGATGCAGTGTGTTGAGAACGTTCAATATTCATATTTGGAGTTGTTATCCAATTTCCAGCTGATAGATCATACAATTCAACACTGTTCAGATTAGTGTTAACATTCAGTTCACCAGTGACTAATATCCTTCCATTTGATAACATCGATGTTGTATGTCTATGTCGCCTAATATTCATATTTTCAGTCGAAATAAAATTTCCAAATAAAATAAAAAATTTCACGTGAAAAAAACAAATTGAAGTTAATTAAAAATTCAAGCTGTTTGCAGATGTTTTATCATAATTTTCTCTATCGTGAAATGATTAAAATTTCGTCCAAAATGGTATATACGCTGAATATCAAATTTACTTTCTTGATCTGTAATATTTATCGATATAAATCATACGCTATCGCACTTATGAGATCATTTCCAGTTTATTCACTTCCACGAGAAAATTGATTATTCGATCCTAAAGATAAAGTATACTTATGATGAAAATATCATCATAATAATCTAAAATTAACCTTGATTTCTTCGATGACAAATAACACTCGTTTGAACATTTCCGGATGATGTTATTTTACTTGATTGACAATCTTCGCTAAACACCAAACAAGTTCAATTATTATGATAATAAACATCTGTTAGACATTGATCTTCATAATTACATTTCCAAATACAAGTTTGGATCGATGAATATCACTGATGATAATACCATTGATTGTAGAAATAAGAAGAGAAATGAACGGCACTGGGTGCATTTTCATTCGCGTTCATTTTAAGTGAAGAAAGGAAAAGCGATAAGAGTTTTACATATAAATATATTATCATTGGTTTTGTTCTCTGAACTGGATGAAAAGTAAATAACAACACATAAGAATGAATTTATGGATATTTGACTATTTTTAACAATAAAACCAAACGATATAGATTTTGCCGAATGAAAACTTTCCGTGTTGTTTGGCTTTTTTAATTGTCGTTCGTCAGTTTGATTTTTATTGACAAAGCATTGCATTTTTAGAAGGTTGTGAAAGGAAGAGTTATTATACATAAATCTCATGATTTCTAATAAGAAAAGAAAATAATCTGATCATCAAAACAAAACGAAGTTTTAGACGAAATTAATCTCAATCAAATAAAAAAGAATCGAATTCTAATCAACATTTAAGTTGATATCCATGTTGTATATAAGAGAATATTTCTTACAATATGATCATAAAGAATGACTGATATTAAAGATGTCACAATACCAATACGGTATTGGAGTATTGGTATTGATATTTTTATGAGAATTAAACGAAAGAAGCTGAATAAATTCGAAGAATTCATACTGTTGTGTGCTGGCCAGTATGGCAAAAGATTCACAAGAAATGTTGATCAGTTGCAATGGTCAAAGAGCGCTACTTTACTTTAAACACAGTATACACACGCGTAACATTGAGTGCGGATGAGGACACTGTGTTTAAAGTGAAGAACTACCAAGTTTGAACTTTTCTATTTGACACATACGGTATCAGGAAGAAAATTTCGCATCGTTCTATGGACAGTGATGATCTCACCGGATTTAGAGAAGACCGGACAACACACACATCTCCCGCAATTTTATAAATCCATAGTCACATATATATGACTCAAGTTACTTGAGTCAAGTATTTGGATCTTATACACACGACAAATACGCAAACATAGATAGTGCTTATATTGCCAGCTTTCTCAAACACTAATACCGGCCAATACTAATACCAATACCAATACTATTGGTATTGTTACATCCCTAGAATTAGTCATCGGTTTTTTTCCATCGAATAGATCAAGATTCACGAACAAATAAGAAAATATTATGAAAAATAAACCTGTGCGTCTTTTATAGTGACATCTGTTCCAAATTGTTCTAAAGGTATTTCTCCGTTTTCGTTTACATTTCACAAAATACGAACAATTGATTCGATCTCAACAATGAAGACAAAACGAAACGAAAAAGAATTTCTTTTTCACTTTGGAATTTTCTTCATAAACACAAGAAAAGTTATTTTGAGAAAAGACTTCTTTTCTTTTCTTTTTAATTTTTAATAAATTCATCAAAAATTTTCTTAGAAAATCTTCACAGATTGTTTTCTTTAACAAATATTTCCAATGTTGACTTGAATTTTGGTTGAAATCTATTTCATTTTAATTGATTTGAAAATGAAACTTTCAAATTCTGTTGATCTTCTGTTACAAAGTGAAACACAATTGATTTGAAGAAATCTTCTTCTTATCAGAAAATTATCGAAGAAAAACACGAAAATTTATTAAAAAGAAAAAACCAAAAGATTGAAAATGGTAAAAATTGATCGATCATTTCGTGTTTCTCATTAAAATCTTTTTTCAAAGTGAAGAAATTCTTCATTTATGAACTTCGAAATCTCTTTTGAGTCAACGATCATCGTGTTATTTCCAAAGAAAAACATCTTTAGGGATAATATAATTTTGATCACCAAGAAAAAATACATTTGATAATCAGTTGCAAATGATCACTAAAAAACGATATTCTTGATTACCAGATAGTTTTAGATAAAAGTGATCACCCAAAAAAAATACTTTAGATCACCAAATTTTTAAAGTTCATTCATTATATTTATTTTTTCAAAAAGTGGAACACAAATAGTGATAATATCTATATGAGAAGAAGAAGAAGAGAAGTGACTTAATTTATACATATTTAGCGTAAGCTTTGTTGACTTTTTTTGGACGTCCTCTTCCTCTTCGTTTACCCAATGGTTGAATACGTGTTTTTTTCACTGACTTGATACAAATTAAACGCAATAGCTAGACCAACTGAATGTTTACACGAATATACCTTCAAGCCAACAGGGCATGTGCATGATTCTAATGGAGCAACTAACCAGCAAGATTATGTGTTCGATATTGATAAACACCATTTGATTTAGCAATAGTTTTCACTTCATCAAGTGAATGAACTACAACAAGTAGTTTCAAATCTGATACTGACATGTTTTCAAATGAATATTTTCTTATGCGTTCTATAGCATAGCAGACAAAATAAGATAACAAAATGTTATTTGAATGAACAAAAAAAGAGATGGGATGCAATATCAGCAACTTTTGAAAATTTTGATGATCATAAATATCTTTGCGAGGTGATCATTTGTATCTAGACTATTTGGTGATCAAAAATATCTTTTTTCGGTGATCCTTTGCATCTGATTATCAAATTTATTTATATTTGGTGATCAAAAATATTCACACCCCATCTTTACATCAAAGAATTTCTCTTTAGATCGATAAATTAATGAATATTTCTCGATGAAAATCATTTTCGATTCAACTATTTCTCTTTGAAAGATTCTTTTCTTTATCTTCATTCGAATTTTTCATTAAAATTCTTTTTCACAAAACTTCGTTTTCTCTTTTGTGTTGAATTTAATTTTCAAATGATTTTCTATAAAATATTCATTAGGAAAATCCAACGTATTTCCTTTTTTTTATTGCAAAGAAAACAAACGAAATTTTCTCTTTATTAATTTTCTCGAAAACTTTTCTTTAAACTTTGTTTTTCATTTCAAATTGCATTTTATTTCGATTTCGAGATTCAAAATAAAATTTTTCTTTTTTCAAATTATGAAATCAAATCGTAGAATTCGATGATTTCCGCAATCACCAACATAAAGATTTCCTTCACCATCAAATGATAAACCACAAGGACCAAACAATTGATTAGGTTTACTTCCTTCTCCATTTCCACCAACAATTATTTCACCTTCTTCATCCCCTTCACACCATCGCATTATTCGATGATTCGCACAATCTGCAACATAAATTCGACCCTCATGATCAACAATGATTCCTCGAGGATGATTTAATTGATTTAGATTCTTTCCGCATCCATTTCCGCCAGCAACAACAATTCCCTCCTGCGCATCTTTTCTCCATTTCATCACACGATGATTTCCCCAATCCGAAACAAAGAGATTGTTCGTCATCGACAAACAGAAAAGTTGGAACGTTGAACTGATTGAGTTGATCTCCTTTTCCATTTCCACCAGCAATTAATGTTCCTTCACCCTTTTCTCCCATTTTCCATCTTCTCACTTCATGTTTTTCATATTCAGAAACATAGACAAATCCAAATTTATCCATTGTTAACCGAGAACACCTAATATTGTGAATGAGAATCTCTGACTGATTTCTGTTCAAAAACCATCGCATTACTCTTCGATTTCCACAATCCGAAATGATGATTGAATTATTTTGTTCATCAAAAATCACATCTGTTGGTCGATCCAATTGATTCAAACTGTTTCCTCTTCCATTTCCACCAGCCACAATTGTTCCTTGATTTTCATTTCTTTCCCATCGAACAATTCGATCATTCCCCACATCCGCAATGAAAATATTTTGATGCTTATCGGTAAATATTCCAAAAGGACATGAAAGTTGATTTAATTTGTCTCCTTTTCTATTTCCTCCACAAATTGTCGATCCATTTTGTTTCCATTTCCTCAAAATTAATTCTAAACAAAGAAAAACTAATTCTTTTTTCATTAAGATTAACACTTTTTCATATAAAGACTCTTGCAAAGAAATGTCTGAAAAGTCTTTTCAAAATTAAAATTCATTTAATTTCAGCTATTGAAAAGAATATTCAAATAAAAACAAATTCAAATTGATTTTGAAAGAAAAGGAAAAGATATTCATTTGTTGATTTAATTAAAAAGGAAAACAAACTGACGATTTCGTTCAATAAAGATCGTCAAACTTTCTTCGATTTCAACAATTTTCGTTTCAATTAAATGAAAATGAAACTTTTCTTCGTTAATTTTCTTTTTCTCTAAAAACTNNAGAAGATAAGGAACACCGAAAACACCTTGATGAATATCACTTAGAGTTATGAGATTATAGACAGGCAACGAACAACATTCAACAGCACCACGAGCGATGATACTACCTTGAGAATAACCGAGAAGATTGAAACCTTCACGAAGTCGTGGATTCGAATCGATTGATTCACAAAATTTTTCAACTTGAACATCTAATGGAAGAAGATATGAATCAACTTTTCCATTTCCGATTTCGATTGAAACAACATAGATATCGGGATAAAGAGAACGAACCCCTCGAGCGATATCTTCCATAGCAGAAGCTGTTGAGGTGATACTGTGCATTAAGACAACTGGACGATAAGTTAAACAGAATACAAATGGAATTTGGATGAAAAAAAAACAACTAAAAGAATACCAACCATTCTTATTTCTCTTTTATGAGAAAAATATCGATTTTTTTACTTGGATTTTAAGTCAATCGATTAGCAAATAACATATGATATGTACTCTCACACTTATTAATGGAAAATAGAACAACATTTTAGTTTTTAAGCAGATTTTCATCTGAATATTTTCTGTATTCATTTTATGTCTCAACAAATTATTGTTTATCTGAGCGAATTTTTCCGATTTCTGTGAACGTTAAATATGCAAATGTTTTTGGAAGCTTTCTCTTCACACCAACAGTTTCTTTGATCGTTTAAACGATGTTTATCACCAATTAGTTCTACAGAAACATTCTAATTGTTTCCTTTGAATTGTTTTCCAATTTCATTCTACAATCGCTCTTAGAAACTGAAATAGGGATCGAGAGCAACAATTCATGATCAACAAAGATGAAACCAAGAGTTCTGAGCTGATTAAATCGATTCTTCATTTCCTCGAAATAATCAAAAAGTTCTTTGCACAAACAAAACCAGATCAGTTAACATATTTAACAATATTTTCACTGCAATTTTATCAATAGGCTTTGTTTTTCTCTATGGACAAAAATTGTCTCTGATAAATCGAACTCATTTTCTTGTTGATGAATCGGCTTGACTTTTTTATGCGTTCGATTTCTGAACTGATAACAATTATTCTTCAAGGCATTTTATTCCTCATTGAAGTTCGGGTGTTGTATTTATATAAATTAAACAGAAGTCTTTTTTTTCGCAAAGTTTTTGTGTAAACATTAATTTATGTTAAAAGGGAATTTGATTTCAATTTTAAAATGTCTTCTACATTCAGCCTTTTTAACTAATTAGATCGAATTTCTCGATTCTATCATTTTCTAAATCACCAACATAAAGATTTCCTTCCCCATCAAATGATAAACTGCGAGGATAAGACAATTGATTAGGTTCATTTCCCCTTCTATTTCCACCAACAATTATTTCACCTTCTTCATCTCCTTCACACAATCGCATTATTCGATGATTGTACATATCCGCAACATAAATTCGTCCCTCATGATCGACAATGATTCCTTCAGGACAATTTAATTGATTCAGATTGTTTCCTCTTCCGTTTCCACCAGCAGCAACAATTCCTTCCTGTGCATCTTTTCTCCATTTCATCACACGATAATTCCCAAAATCTGAAACATAAAGAGATTGTTCGTCATCGACAAATAGAAAAGTTGGAAGGTTGAACTGATTGAGTTGATCTCCTCTTCCATTTCCACCAGCAACTAATGTTCCTTCATTCTTTTCTCCCATTTTTCATTTTCTCACTTCATCTTTCTTCCAATCAGGAACATAAACAAATCCAAATTTATCCATTGTTAACCGACAACAGTCGATATTGTGAATGAGAATCTCCGGTTGATTTTCGTTAAAAAACCATCGCATTACTCTTCGATTTCCTTGATCAGCAATGATGATTGAATTATTTTGTTCATCAACAATCACGTTCGCTGGTCGATCCAATTGATTCAAACTGTTTCCTCTTCCATTTCCACCAGCCACAACTGTTCCTCGATTTTCGTTTCTTTTCCATCGAACAATTCGATGATTCCCCGAATCCGCAATGAAAAGACTTTGATATTTGTCGATAAATATTCCTTGAGGACCTGAAAGTTGATTTAATTCTTTTCCTCTTCCATTTCCTCCACAAATTGTCGATCCATTTTGTCTCCATTTCCTCAAAATTATTTCTAAACAAAGAAAAACGAATTCTTTTTTCACTAAGATTAACGCTTTTTCATACAAAGACTTTTGCAAAGAAACATCTGAAAATTCTTTTCTAAATCGAAATTGATTTAAGTTTAACTATTGAAAAGACTATTCAAATAAAAATGAATTCAAATAGATTTTGAAAGAAAAGGAAAAGATTTTCATTTGTTGATTTAATTAAAATGAGAAACAGAGTGACGATTTCGTTAAATAAAAATCGCGAAATTCACTCGATTTCAACAATTTCCGTTTCGATGAAATGAAAATGAAACTTTTCTTCGTTAATTTTTTTTCTCCAAAAACTCAATTTTCCTCGTCATCATTCAATGTCTCATCAAAATCCAATTCGATGTCAAATTCATCAAATCTGAAAGACAACGAATTCTTTCAAAATAAACTCATCTAATTATTCGAAACTACGAAGAATTTTTTGTATTTTTCTTTCGAATTTCGAGGTTTTCTCGAGATTTATTCCAATGAGAATTTTCCTTCAAATCAATTTTCATTCCCTTTGAAATCGTTCACATACTTTGAATAACTCTTTTCGAGAGTTTTTCGATGAATATTTGTGAATTTTCCATTGAATTCATTTCCATTTGATTTTCCGTTTGTTTTTTCATTTCCATTAGTTGATCTTTGAAATAATTCAAATCCAATTCATTAAATTCATTTTCTTTTTGAACTTTTTTCATTTTTTCTGTTATTTCATCAAATTTTCTCCTTAATTTATCGAGATCTTTTCTTTCTTTTTCGATTAAAATATTTCGATATTGTTGAGCTGTTTGTTGAATTAATTCGATCGATTTCTTTTCCCATTGATCAATTTGTTTCATCGAGGAAGAAACGAGTTGGTTTTGATTGATTTGATCCCTAAATTGATCATAATCATTGATAATCGTGTTGAAATCTTCGTTTAAACTCTGCAGATGTTTTGTCAAATCTTCAAAACAGAATTCCTTTGAACAACCTCGACAAGAATAAATTATTTTGTTTTTGTTACAAACGAAACATTGTTTTTTGTTATTTGCCATTGCCATTACTTTAAAGAAAATAATCGAAAAGAATCAATGTGAACAAAACAAAAGTATTTGGAAGAAAATTTTGCTTAAATAAATCTGAATCATTATGAAAACAATCGCATAAAAAGAATGAAAAAGAATTTGTTTTCGAATTTCTTTTGAAAAAGAAGAAATTTCATTGGAGAATTTTCCATCAAAATCGATTTTGTTTTTTTTCTTCTGTTGGAAAAATCCGAGAAAATCAAAGGAAAAGATTATTCGATCCGATTTTGTTAATCAAAAGACAAGGATTTATTTACAACAGTCGACTGTGATGTTTCACAGTTTTCAACTTTATCGGACAAAATCAGAATAATTAAGAATGGGAAAATCTTTGATTTGTTCGAAATGATCTTTATTAACGATGAACTATTAGAGGAAGGTGTTTCACTTGACAAATTATTCGTTGAATAACGAATAGAAATTCATATTCTTTGAATTGAATTTTTATTTGTTTTTCAGATGAACATGAAAATGTTTCTAATGTACCAAGATTTTCGTTTATTCTTCTCTTATAACATTAATAAATTTGTATGCATCAATTGATAAGATTTTTTCTCGTTTGTCGATCTGAACAAACACAACATGTAGAAATATTTTTCTCTCTACATTATTTTCTCTTCAGACATCAAATATAATTCAGGTGTTCTTTTCTCATTTACCCCAAACATCCTCTTCTCTTTCTTCTTACATTCTCTTGTTTGTACTTGTCCATCTGCACTTTCTCGGATCTTCTACTTCTATTCTTTTTCTTTTACTTTTCACCCAAATAAAGTTTTATCCAATGTAAATTTTCGTTTGTTCACTTGATCTGAATTTTCTTCCCTCTATTCTTATCGTAATTTACAAAATGATTTTACATCAATTCAAATTTGATTGTTTCAAAGTTCTCATCGATTTGAAAAATATTTGTGAAATATGTAATTAATCACATATTGAGAACCTGATTTTCCTTGTAGAATGCTCAACACGCTTTCTCACACTTTAGCTCATCGATATTTATCAGTGAAACAAATTCAAAATCAGTGTTAGTTTGTCGGTGGTGGATTAGTTGGATTGTCAACGACCCTTTTTCTACGATGATGTGGAGGGTGTACTGTACTAATTGTCCGATTACGAGAGTGCAATGGAAAACAATACACTCTATTTACTGACTATATGGTATACGACCTATAGTGATGGTCGCTAGATTTTGATCTTTTCGGACGACAAAGTACGTGACAAAAAAAAACATTAAAAACAATGACTTTTAAAGTAATTGGTAGATCACATTGAGAGATCAAAATTCTTGCGACAAGTCGTTGGGAAAGTAGTGCATTAGTTGCAGATAGTTTTGCATCTGGTCGAGTGTTTCTTGCTGGTGATGCTGCTGATAAAGACAAAAATGTTCCGATCATTGTCGATCAGGTGATGGAATTCGATCAATTATATTCAGTTCTTGGTGTTAGTAATGAATTTTTATCTGCTTAAAAACCTGATCAATGGAATGGTCAACCTGGAACACGAGCTCCACATATATGGATATCAAAAAATGACAAACAAATTTCTACATTTAATCTATTTCAAGCTGGTTGAGAATTGTTTAAAGAAGATAAACATTGGTGCACAACTGCAACATTATTAGAATGCGTGCAAATCGATGTCGATATGATACCGTCGGACTTGGAAATGTTTCGTAAAGCTTTTCGGCACAAGAGCAACAGGTTATCGTTAATTCGCCCCAATGGTTTTATAGTGAATTTGATAATTGATGAAAAACAAAATGTTAAATTTAATATAAGAAGAGAGAGATAACAGTTGGTTTAATTAATTAATCGTATTTCGATATTAATGAGATTGCAGTTGATCAACCAATGATCCTGATCTTTCTGTAAGACATTATCAAAAAAGATACTCAGGAAATTCTTTTGTAGAAAATACATCAATGAAATGATTAACATCTTCTAAAAATAATTTTATTTCTCTTACTGATGAAACTAATTTTCTTATATCATCAATATAAAGATGTAAATGAAGACTTTGAAAGTTCAAGAAAACTCTTCATCCGCATTCTCTACGGTTGATACACAAAAAAAGAATCCAATTGTTAATGTCTTTATTTAGAAATTAAAAAAACAGAAATCTAAGGTTAACCTATACAACTGAAAAAGTCTGCATACTTTACATATAAATCGTCAGGTAGCTGTGTAAACTTATTCACAGAAATCGATATTGAAAAAATATTCACTGACAAAGTCAAATGAGCGACAATGTCAATTTGAGATATTTATCGTTTTTCACGAGTTAAGTTCAGTTTTTTTTTGTTATTTTTAGAGTCACAATAGATCGAAAATATAAGTCAAGAAATAACATCATCTGACGTCATTTTTATGATTGATATAATTTACTGAATAATTATATATAAAANCAAATTGTTTATAACAAAAAGATTTATTCAACTCATCGTCATTTGATATTATTTATTTGTTTCATCATTCCTTTCTTAATACTGATGAATATAGTTGTTCAAAATCAAATGAATTGGTGCATTGTTATTGGAACACCAGGATCAAGTTGTTCTTTAATTTATACATCAATTCCGATTCGAATATGGAACATGAGTGTTTTGTTTGCTTTACCAATTGGAATTACTTTTCTAACATCGATTAAATGTTTGATGTTTCTTAAACACACTCAATCACAGCAAATTATAATTCAACGAAATCATTTTCGTCGATTAATCTATCGTTATGCTTGTTTCTATACGATTTGGTTGATTCTATGGACACCATTGATCATATTGAATTTTTTATGTATCGAAACAATTGATGGAAAAATTTATTTTATTGCGACGGCTGGAAATACATTCGAATCGTGTTTAGATGGTGTTATTCTTATTTTTTTGGACAAACGTTTTGAAATGGCATGGAGAAAATCGTTTGATGCAATTCGACAAAAATTTGGTGGGCAGAAAAAGAACAAAGTCATTCCGACATGTCAACAAATATTAGTTAGACAGAACGAAGTTCATTTACGGAAAGAGGAAGTTGTACGAGCGACACGAGTCATTGTAGCTTGATAAAGAAAAGGCAATATTTATACTCTTAGCCTCAAATTCTAAGAAAAATTCAGATGTCAAAAGATTATATTAAATTCCGCGGATATCCTGACACTTTCACCTTCAAGATTAAAGATTATTCGGTCTGATTTCGCTGATAAAAATCCAGATTGATTTATCAAGTTTTGTTCGTTTGTACTATGAGAAAAAAAGATGAAAGATTTGCAGATCGAATTCAAACGATGTTTTCGCTTGAGATCATTGCAGTGAAAATGAATTGAGAATAGTTGTCATTTTGATATAGCTCGATGTTTCATCTAATTTTCTCTTCAACGATATTTGATTCCTCATTTTATTGACAATTTCGTCAATTTTGAACAGAAATCTTCATCTGAAATGTGTTAATGTTACAAGATGTTTCTTTCGAACACATCTTCAAATCGAATATCATTCAGCGAAGAAGCATTTATTCGATCGATTGATGTACGTTCAACATAATTCATCTAACTTCTTTGGTGATTTCACGTTTCGCGTATTTCTTCTATGTAGATCTATTTTAAATACATTTCATTTCACGTTTGATCAAATCGGAGCTGAGAAATTTACTAATTGTTTAGTCTGAAGTAAAGAAAATCGAATAGAAAAAGTCGTCCGATTTGCAAAAACAATCAATGGACTATATAAAAGCTTTTTTGAATTGAAGAGAATTGAATCAAAATAACATGTCGACAAAGATGTATCGTATCCTTTTATATTCTCCCTCGAATTTTACAAGCTCAAGGAACTAGAAGTGATAGTTTTTTCGAATGCAAATAATTTATCAGAGATTGTTAAAGGTCATTTCTTAACAAACTAAAGGAACACAGAAGCTTCATGATGAAGAATTTGCTCTTTCAAATATGTCACTTGAACTTCGAGAAACATGCAGAGGCGACAACTTATAATAATATTCAATTTCTCTGTTACACGGAGGAGAAAAAAATCTCAATTTGTTTGATGAAACAATGAAATTTTAAACAATCGATTTGTTAACACGAAAGACTTATTAAAATATAAATCGATACGTTGAAGAAGAACAATGAACTATTCGAAGATATTCATATTTGACTAATAATGAACAACATACTATTGTAAAAGATACACTTTTAGCGTAGAAAAGAAAATGCTTTTCGAAAACTAATATCTAAAATTTCTGTTTTAGAAAATCAATTTTTATCTTGTACAGTTTTAATATAAGGATAGTTTTCAGACGATGAAAGTTTGAATATTGAGAGAATATGTAATTGTCTCTGAATATTCTTTCATTTTGTAGTAAAGAGAAGTAAAGTGATTGTAAGAAATCATTATCTGTTAGCATTAGATTATTTCTAGGAGAAAATTGTTAGTTGACACGAAGTAAAAATCGTCCTTGTTGACCTTTATTCGAACGAATGCGGAGTACGTTTTACATCGATAGAAAAAAAAGGAGAAAAATGATGTTTTCATCAGCGCATTCTATGTAACTACCACGTGGTGGAGAGAATGCCAAGAAAAACCTAAAACATATAAACTATTTTCTTTCTACACATTCTCTTAGAACGCTTTATCACGATCAGAAGTAAATAGTCAGAATGGAAGAAGAACCAGAACCAGATTCAATTCAGCTCGCATCTATGGAAAAGACTCACGTGTAAGAAGTTTTTAAGAAATGGAAAGAGGCATTTGAGCCTTTGTTAAGAATTAATGAATAGATTTTTTTTCATCGATTGTTAATATTACATTAACCGATATTGCACCAACTCAGTCACATACGATCAATTATCAAATGAATTTCATTGATTTCAGAATCGTTTCTGTAAATAATTCTAATGTTTTTATGCTTTAGTCGTTATGAACCGCATAATACTAATGATACAATGATAGGTACACATAATCCGACTGAATCTGAACGTGATTTATTTAAAGCCGTAAGTAATAAAAACATATTTCTTATTAATTTTCATTGTTGTCGCTATTTTTCAAGTTTCAATCGGTCATTGCTGATCAGATTCGTTCACATTCGTCTGATTTACCACCTTTTGATGATTCTGAACTTGAACCTATTAGTGTCTACACTGAGATCAACAATGATTCTCGTTTTCATTTTCAAGTGAGTTGTCTATATATATTGAATTAGAGGATAATTTTGAGCTTTTTTATCAGATTCAGTTGCCGAATGGTCATCGTTGTCGTGCCTCGATTATTCAACCACTAGGTGTTCCAATTGAAGGCGATAAGACTGAGCGCGAAAAGATGGTTTATACTGATTCTATTCAATAAAGCTTCATTGTTGACATTAACAACTAATTCTGAATATTATTTGCGACTCGTATAATACGATTGTGTACTGGGGCGTGAGGAGTAGAATACACAAATAGTTGAGTGAATAGTATTGTGTTTTGAGTTGTATGTAGAAAGCAAATCAATTTTATACTTCATATTTCAAGCTTTAAAAGTAGGATACTGTTTGTATCGTCATAATATATGCAACTGGCACAATTGACGGCAAGACGGAGCATAAGCAACAGAAAAATGTCTACAGTTGCTTCATAATAAAAACAAAGAGTAGTTTACATCGAAATATCCAACAGTATTGAAAACGATATTTTATTATCACATAGAATGATACAGTAGACTAAGCTCTTTCTTTCCATGTTATCGGATCGTACATCGAGTGGTATTATAATAAAAAATTCTAATGAGACATTTTATGTAGGTTTACTTTGCTGGTAATCTATTTGATGTTTGAGTATATAACGAGCAGAATTTTTTGTAAGTTGAAAATAGTCGGACAATATCCTATCAACATGCAGTATAATAATTCTATTACATGTTCATGATAATATTCTTGAACATAAAAGTAAGTTTGAGTACAATGAAAAAAGCTTTCTGCGCAATCCCTAATGGGATTAAAAGTATGAAACACGATCCAGCCAGACAAATTTTGAACACATAGAACGGTCAATTTATTTCCCAGCTTGCATTCCCATTTATCTAAACTTAAGCAGTTGAAAGCAGCATATCATTATCAATAGAGACGTTCACTGCTTTTTAAGAAAATTTTTATTCATCGGTCACAATATGTGATCCTTCTTATTGTGCTTCCATTAACAGATGTCGATCGGTGACGCGATCTACACGTGTCGATGTAACGAAGTTGAGAACGAACCTGTCTGTGAGACAACGATACACAGTTTATTTGCCTTTTCCTCTAAAAAAACTCACTTTCTCTCTTCATTTTTTAGGCGTCCGTTTTCTACAGAGTCTGTAACGTCTGTGTGGGAGGGGAGTCCAAATTTCTGCCCCTACACACTTCAAGACTCTCTTTCAGATCGTGTTTTACAAAAGAACGCGTTTATCGAAAGCCTGTCTCCTTGAGAGTGTCAATCGTTTGTATCTGTAGAAGGAATAGTAACTTATACAATTCTAAAGTCATTTGTTGAAGTTGGATTTTTATCCTATATGAATTGTTTCATCATAAGACACTGAGCCATATTTTTTATGTACGATACCTTAGAATTAAACATTTGATTTGATTTTAAAGTATTGTGTAAATCTTACTTTAGAATTTCTCCTCTCGACTACCGTTGGTCAAGTTTTGCAGAAAATATGATCGATAAATCAATTAATTAAAATTCATCTCAAATTTACATTCCTCATCTTCAATTATTTTCTGTTCTCCGATTGTCTCGATCGGCCAAGAGAGTATGAGCATATCATCAAATAACCAGACAATTTATATTTCTTAAATTACTTCCTATGCGAAAGAGAACAAAAGACAACAGTTATGAAACCAGGAATATAATGAAAAGTAAATACCGATCCAAACGATGCTCGTCGAACAACGTCCAATTAATTTCGGTCGACATCGTTTCAAAAGAAGTTTATATAGATCAAACACAGGCCATGCCAAAATACCAACAATTGAAATAAAAACAGAACATACCCAAATTAGAACTTCACAATCGATATCAATCCAAATTTGTTTCAGTCTGTTCATCGCGCATCGTTCGATTCGATGCACCGATCATGAAAAAAATCAACATAAGAACACATCCAAGTACATTCAATATGAAGCCAATAACGATTTCAGTCACTGTAAAATAGAAATCATAATGACTTCGAAAAATACATTTGATATCGTTTCATAGTTTTCACTGAACTTGGTTTCGTTTTTTAGGTCAATCGAATGCAATACATTACAACTATTCAAACGCAATCTTATAGGCGT